CAGGAATGGGGGACGTGGGACACAGCAGGGATGCTGGACACGGTGAAGTGAAAAGCAAGAGCTGAGGATACAGGACTCCTTAGGGAACGTGAGCCCTGGGACACAGGACACGGCTTGGGGACCCCTCTCAGCTCCGCTCGGTTTTGCCCGGGGTGCTTTGGCTGGACAAGTCCAGGAGGACGAGGCCCGTGCTGAGGAGCAGCAGGGTCACACCGGCCGTGTGCATGGTGCAGCTTGTGAAACAGGCCGGGGAGCAAAAATAGCTCCTCGGAAAACAAAATAAACCCACAAGCAGGAGCGAAACTTTGGCCTGGAGCTTGGGAAGACGTGAGAGGAAGAGGGGGCGAGCAGGAAGGCCGGGCGCTTGGCCCGACATCACTCGGGACACGGAGCCGTGCGGCCGGCGCAGAGGAGCGGCCGATTCCCAGCGGGATCAAACGCCGCCGCCGGCAGCGCCCGCGGGGTCCAGCACCTGCGGGGCCGCCCGGGACGGGGCCGGCGCTCCCGGGAATGCCGGGGGGGCGCGGGAAGCGCTGCCGCCTGCCCGGGAACAAAGCCGCCTTTCACGGCAGCCACAGGCACAGCCAAACCTGGAAATGGCTCCAGCACCGGCTTCCAAGCGGCACTTTGATCCCAGCCACGGGTGGGATGGGGTTTTTCCCTTCCTCTCTGCTCCAGGGCGCGATTCCCAGCGGTGTCCGTAGCCACTCCAAGGAGCTTCTCATCACTGGGCCAGCGCGGGGCCGGCCCCTTCCCAGCGCTGCCGGCGGCTCCCACGTGTGTCCGTGTGGGGAAGGAGACGGCCCCGGGAGCCCCGAGGTGCCCTCGAGCCCAGCTCACACCCAGCCTCCGGCTGCCTTTGGTGCCAAGCAGTTCCTCCCATGGGTTTTGGTGCCGGGATGTGTCCAAGTCCCTCGTCCTCATCCCTGCTTTGAGGGTGGCAGCAGGGCGAGCGCCTTGGCTAAACTCATTCCATAAACCCCAGCCCAGCTCCAGGGCAACACCTGCCTAAGTGTCCCCTCCATTCCCAGGGCTGCGAGGCCAGAAATCACTGGAAGAGAGGAGAAAAGGACCCGTGGGGAGCCCCGGTGCTCCCATATGGACATGGGGCAGCAGCTGGGAGCTGCACAGAGCAGCAAGGAAGCAGGATAAAAGCTTCCCATCCTATTCCAAAGTCAGGATTGAAAGAAACGTCAGTTTGACCCCAGCACCGGGGCCTTAAGTAGGGCAGGAGGACAGAAGTTGCACAATCATCAGCCCTTGTTCTCGTGGGGGTGAGATGTTTGTTGGAAATAAAATAAAATACAGGGGCACCAGCCTAGGAGGTGTGTCTTTCCCAACCACAACGAACCCCTGATTCTGTAACTCCCCCTCCTCGGGATGCTCCCGCTGCCCCGGTGCTGTGGGAGGAGGCTGATGCTGAAGCCGCCCGGGGCAGAGGCTGCTCCGAGCCTGTCGGCGCTCCGGCAGCTTAGCCAGCGCGCCCGGATTAGCGGCACACAGACGTGAGCGGGAGGCTGTCGCCCAGGGCTAATTAAGAGCCGGTGTCTCCCGGCACTCGCTTATCCGCCGCCTTTCACGTGTTGTAGCCGCGGCCCCAGGAGCGGAGCAGCCCGGCCGGGGCGGTGTCGGCGGGTGCCGGAGCGGCGCCACAGGCACCGAGCGGCCCGGCCGCTGCTCCCCATTTCCCACGCGGGCAGCGCCGGGCGCTGGGAGAGGAGCCGCTCCCTGCTGCTGCGCCGGGGCCCCGGGAACCACGGAGCGGCCGGAGAGGGGGCTGCGGGAATGGGAATGAGGCGGCTGCTCCGCGCCTCAGAGACATGGAAATGGAGGAGAGACCTAAGCGTGGGAGCAGCTGCTGAGGCAGCCGGTTAAACCGCCCAGAAAGCAGAATTCTGGGCTGACGCGGGAGCGGAGACGACGTTCAGGCCTCATCCCCACGGTAAAATGCCCAGGGAAGTGTTTGCGCTCTAGAACAGCTCCCACCCACGTGCTGATCTTGGGAAGCCACCGTGTCCACATGGATAATCCATGTGTCCAGGAAGGCCCTGGGCCTTTGCACAAGTTCCAGAAACAGCCCTGTGGGGTGAAGAGACACAAAGGGACGAGGTGGGACTGTCGCGCGGGCACCTTCCCGCCTCTCTCGAGGGATCGGTGGGATGCAGATTTTGGATTATTGTGCTATTGAATCCCAACTCTCTGCCCTTGGGCAGCAGGAAGTTGAGATTCGAGGCTCAGGGACGAGTTGCAGGCAGGCCTTGGGGGCTGGGTGCTTTGAAGGAGGGCTCTATTGAGAAATGCAGTTAAAAAAATCCCCCGTCGTCCCCAGGAGCCTAAACCCACAGAATGTGGAGGAAACCGCAGCTCTGGGCCCGCTCCCATCGCCGCCAGCCCACGGCTCGGCCCCGTTCCCTGCCGCCCATCGGGAGGAGCCGCCTGGTTGAGCGGTTCGTTGTCATCATCCAATAACCAGTTCATCGACAGCGCGGCAGACCCAGTGAGCCCTCGCTTGCCAACTGCTAATTAGCTTAACGTTGCTAATCCCTCATTAGCGACTACGAAGCAGGCTCCGAAATCCGAGGGCAGCCCTGAGCAGCAGCGGTTGAACTCCGGAGCAGCCCGCGGGGCTGTGCTGGGACAGGGCGCCCCAGGGCCCGCAGGTTTCTCTAGACCTCAGGTGTCCCCCGAATTCTCGTCCTCGAAATTCTGCCCCGTTCTGCCGGGTAAAGCATCACCCCAGCGCTGAACAGCAGCTCTGCAAGGTGCTGCAAAGCCCAGACTCTGCCCGGCGGCTTTCCTGGAGCAAGGAGGTAGAGGAACCTGGAGAGCGGAGCCAGTGTCACAGGGCGAGCCCAGATCCACCGGCGCCGCTGCAGCTTCTTGGATCCCAGGACACAGACAATCCCTTGGAGGCTTTTCCCAAGGCCCAGGGCTGTTGGCACCCAGATATCCAGCTACCCAGGGCCCTTGCCGCCTGTTTTCTGCCCTGACAAACTACCTGTGCATTTAGGGCACTGTGTCCCAATTCTGTTGAGAAGAAAACCTGAGAATCCAAGAAACAAACACAGAGACTTGAGTTTATGTAAAAAAAAAAAAAAAAATTTATTTTGGAGGAGGATTTGAACACCGACATGCAGGTACAACATGAATAAAAATTATTGCACCGCTATTATGTGGCAATTGTTCAAGTTTCTAAAAACACGGAGGTTCCACACGTTTCTCTCTTCTACCTAAGTGCTGAGTGCCACCGCGCGGCAGCGCCGCCGCCGAGGGGCTCGCGAGCCACCGGGACGTGGGAACCGAACACGACGTAAACACACACCGCTGGCAAGTCTTCTACCAGAAGTACAGATTTATCCTTCACAGCCAGTAAGAGCAAACCAGAGAAAGACTTGATCCCCCCCCCTCTTCGGAATTAAAACAGAAATAAAAAATACTCCAAATCACACCTTTATGCGAGTGTGGAAACCAAACCCACTGCTCACTCCTACGCACTCCCCCAGCAAGCGCTCTTTAGTACATTAGCAGCCAAAGGCCTCCGACATTCAGACCCGGGAGTGGCCATTACAATGCTAAAGTCTAATATTTACAATAAATATCATCCATTTCTCGTAGTTTGCAACAGTAAGACAGAGGGGAAAGCAACACTGAAACGAAGCGTGGGGCAGGAATGCATCGGCCGGGTGTAGACATGAGGAAGGGCAAGGAGGGTGACGGCTTCTCCGCTACGGCTCCCGAACCGCCGGGAGAGGAGAGCGCGTCCAAACCAACGGAACGGGCAGGGAAAAGGAGCCGGGGAAGCAACACAAAGTGGGGATGGGTCTGTGCGTATCTCGCTCACCAAACACACAGGTCCTGCCTGCCCAGCGGCGTCAGAGCTATCGGAGCAACACCGGGCAGAGCGAGCAATAAAGAGTGGTGCCCGCGTCCGCCCCAGTGCCACGTTTGCCCCCCGCGCGAGCGGTTCCGCGGCGCCACGTGGAGAGGAAGAGGAGCTGGGAGGACGGGACGTCCGCGGGGCGGAGGCGACGGGCGCCTCGCTAGGAAGGGCCGCTCTCCTGGCCATGCTGTGTGGCTTTGGCTTCCAAGAAGACAGGGTTTTAGGAATTGCACTGGTCGCTGTCCGTACCGTAGCTACAAAGGAGGTGACGAAACAGACGTCTCGCCTCTTCTTTGGCCAATTCAGGCAAAAGCAGCAGCAGCTGTGACATACCAAGGATTCTCACTCATTAAAAAAAAAAAAAAAGAAAAAGAAAAAAGAAAAAAATGCAGGATAACACTGAAATTCACCCACTGGAACTATCGGCTGCAAAGAGAAGAGTCAGCAGCTCCCACCGCTGGCACCTCCAGACGGTCCCGTCCCAATCTGCTCCTCCACGAGAGGTCCCTGCGACCCCAGCGGACCTGGCACAAACCTAACCCCCTTCCCGGGGCTAGAGCTGCCAGAGCCCGTGGGTCCCGTGCTGAGAACGCGCTCAGAGGCACTGGGATACACTGCGTGCCATGGGAAACGGGCTTGGGGCCTCCCTTCCCTCTTACAGTGTCCCTAAAGAGGACGAAAAGCACATGTGGAAAAACGCAGGTAGCGCTTCCATTTCCTCCCAAGCGGGAGGCCTGGCTCCGGAGGCTCCGCGCCGCCGCCTCCTCACATCCCGCCAAGCACCCAGCACCAACCAGCTCCTGGATGGAAGCCTGACCAGCCAACGAGGCAGGCTGAACAGCCCAGCCTGAAGCGCCCTCTGCCAAGAGGCGGGTTTGCCTTCGTGGGACCCCTCAGAGCCGGCGCCCGGCCTCCTCTTCCACACTGCCCCAGCTCACGGTGCTGAACACATCTCTCCCTACGCTCACACAGTCTCTCTTACACCCATCCGACCTTGTTTCTCAGCAGCTTTGTAGATCAACCTGTCCGGGAGAAAACCAGCCAGACCCAGCACCAGATCCTGCCCGATCTGTTCCCTACTTGCTATTGCTCCAAAATCAGCACAGAATGATACTCATCAGCAAGAGTCCTTTCAAAGGCTGGAAATGCCCAGAACCCTGAGAGGATGGTGGAAAAATTGTGGCTTATAACTGCAAACTGAGTGTATACAAATAGCCTACAAATTCCAGCAGGAAGAGCAAAGAGACAGTCCAGCAGGCCCTGCTCTCAATACTGTCACAGCAAGATTTATTTACATGTTATCTGGGAGCTTTGAGGCTTTTGCTAGTGTATTAAAACATCATACATGTTCACACAGACACACAGCGTAAACACTAGTTTAAACATGTTAAAGAAGAGCTCACACCAAATCAAAACTTGGTCCAGAAATGAAATCCAAGCAGCCAAAAATCAAATATGGATTAAAAAAAATGGTTATACAGAAAGGGACAGGGCAAGATTACAGATATTCTTTGTGATCTGTGGCTTGAGTTGAAATCAAGTCGAAAGAGATGGAAAAAATATATTCCTATATATAAAAAAAACAAAAAACTATTTACATTTAGGGAAAGTGAATCAAAACTTCAAGTTTCAAAGAGGGAAAAGGCAGCAGTGTAATGAGACCAGACCCACAGATGCAGATTTTAGCCTTGGGATACTGTTGCACAGTCACTCTGCTTCTCACAGAGTAAGCCAGTGAGCAGGACTAGATACTGCGGGTGATCCACAGGGAGACTTACTCAAGACAAGACTAGAACAGAAGCTGAGCACGATCTGGGAGAACTGACCGGAGTGTTCATCAACAGCAGCCTTTAATTGGATGAAGAAATGGCTTACGGGGCGAGAGGCATCACCACTCAGCACGTTTACTGGTGTGTTATTATTGATCTAACCCTCAGCCAAGAGCACTGTTACCCAGAGCTGGTCACGCTTAAAGCAGAGCAATGTCTAGACCTAAGAGCGGGGAGGAGTTTTTAAAGGAACCAAGTGACCTCAGCAGTGGAAATGACCCAGCTGTCAAAGCTGAAACCCTGAAATAACGCGTGTGTTTTGAAGTCTGCTTGCAGCTTCTCCACAGAACTCTAGGAGTCAGGACTCCTCAAAGATTTCTTCTCTTTTTTTATTAAAAACAGGCAGATTTGGAAAACTTGGTGTGTTTTCCAACCCCTAGTTGAAAACTCTTAAGAAACACCTTAAAATCCCTACCTATGTAGACTCACCAAGAGAAGGAAAAGTCTCCAGAGCTCATTTATCACTGGGGTAACTTTGCCCAAGTCATATTTCGAAGAACACATGACTGTAAATTTCCCTATATTAAAATCAACCGACAAGGCACCCCCTTCCTGGGGGTCATTTATTCCGAGGCGGGGCAAGTTACAAACTGAAGCCAGAGAAGAGAAGATAAAATGTCATTAAAATTTTAAAAACGCAGGGGAAAGAGTCACCTTGTGTCCCATAAAGGATAAGCGAAAACAATCAACCTCCTCCCACCAAAAAACAGCTTTTCCCTCTGATAATTCCACCGAAAACCATTTGCACTTGGTTTAAAGGCAACATAGGAATAATCCTCTCTCTGTTCCCCTGGTAGCACTGAAGAGGGTTTGTATTTCCAGACTAACTCATGGACAAGAAATTTGTGTCCACTTTGTCAAGGGAAACTGGCCTGTAAATTCACAGCAAATACTTGCGATTTCTGAATTTCAATGACATTTTAAAGAGAGGGGTTGAAAAGCAAAGATTTTGAAGTAAGCTGCCTTTCTTTGCACTCAGAATTTGGGGATCTCAACACAGAATTGGAGAAAGAGCAAAACAGGCTCTAAACTCAGAGCAAAATAAAAGGGCGGGAAGGGAGAAGAATCAGCAAACTGTTTCTTAAGCCCTGCTTTAAAGATACCCTGTTCTAAAGAGACCTCAAATGGCAAGCATTACTGTGTACAAAAATAGAATAGCAAGAATGAAAAAAGGAACACAAAAAACAGTATGAAAAAAACCCTCCCAAAAATAGATGTACACAAGTTCTATTTTATATTAGTGTATATTACAAAATTCAAACATGCAGTCTCTGTTCTGAATGTGGGACGCTCCAGTCCGGGTGTGCGAGGGATGCTGCTATGTTTTCCTGCCAGCACCGTCACAGGACGCAGGAGGCTCTCGCCCTTTCACCTGACCTGCAGCCTCTCTGCTCCCTCCTTGCGCGCCAGTCCCGTCCTTACAGGGCCTCGCGCTGCCATCTGGCCGAGGAGAGGCCCCCAGGACGGGCTGTCCCAGCGCGTGCGAGAGCTCCTTGGAGGAGGCGCTTTTGCAGCTGCTTCCCAAGGCTTCCGATGACTTGGAACTGCAAAAGGTTGGCTCCTTTTTTGCCGCCGCGGGACACGCCGCCTCCCAGGTCTTTGCGGAGTGCAAGGACTCCATGCAGGAGCCGCTCCTGGTGGTCAGGCGGCCCGTGCTGGGAGGTTTGGCTCTCTCTTGTCCTGCTCCTGCTTGCAAAGCTTCCTGCTTTTTCTGTTTGGAATCCCTCTCCTCTTTACAGGTTGCACCCGAATGGTGGCAATCCTTCCTCTTCTCCAGCTCGCCAGGTGAGGCCACACTGAGCCTGAGAGGGCCCAGGCCGCTCTGCGCAGGCGGCGCTGGCGGGGACACGGCGCGCGCTCCCTCGGCGGCGCTGGGCACAGGCAGCGGCGAGGCCGCGGCACCCGCGGCGCTGCCCTGGCTCCTTCTGCCAGCAGCTGAACCACTCTCCGTCTGCACCAAGCTGGGCTGCTTTCCTTCAGGACTGGCACTTCTGGGGGACGTTTCACTCCTGCTTCCCGGGTGCAGGAAGGGGCTGCTGTGCTCCACAGGCTGCAGCGTCTCCGTGCGGCCCTCGGCGCGGCCGTCCCCGCGGCTCGCTGAGAGCGTCACGCTCACGCTCGCCGTGCAGCATGGAGAAAGAACGAGCAGAGGTTTCGAGTCATGGTTTTTCTGACTGACTTCTGGTAGCAGAGAGTCCTTCAGGTCAAGTTTAGCACAGGAGGCCCCTGAAGAGTCACCTTGTTCAAGTTTAAGAGGTTTCGTGGATGGACGCTCTATGTGTTCAGTATGATCTATTGGTTTTGGAGTACTAGTAGTTTTCCCTAAGTCTTTGATTGCTTCATGAGATTTGTCTTCTTGACTAAAATGTTCCAATTTTTTGTTTTCTGGCACTTTATGCTCCTTTGCAGTAGCTTCTGGTCTTAGGAATGGCTTTTCTGAGCTAGGTAAGATAGGCAATTTCTCTGCAGAAGTTCTTGGGAGGGCCTGTGATGGGGGAGGCTGCACACTGGTTTGCAGCAGCTCTGAAACAGCCTTGGCTTGCTGATTATTTACCTTTTGCAAATCTTCTGTACCTTTTGGATCTTCGGGCAGAAAGGCATCATCTTCAATACTATCTTTGCTTTCTAATTTAGAAGAAAATTTATCCTCGTTAAAAGAATCAGAGCCTCGGTCTCCACTGCCAGGTGGCTTGTCCAGTCTTCTTCCATCCTGACTGTCCTCTGAACCATCATCCGTTTCATCTTCCGAGGAATCTACTTCCCTTATGGCCTCCTGCTTTTGCAGAGACTCTCTCCTCTCCACCCTGTCTTGTCGAATAGCACCCAGCTTCCTGGAGCCTGGCTTCTGCAGCATCACTTTTTCTGCTAGTCCAAGTTTTCCACTTGCTGTTTCATTTGCTGATTCTTGTAAGCTCTGGAGACTAGGATCCCTCTGCAGCATTTCCTTCTTAAATTCCGAATGAGAGATATCCAGGCTATGCTTTCGTGAGGAACCCAGCTTCTTCTCAGAAGATGACAGGGAGGCTGCCAGTTTTTCTGCCGACTGGACTCTCTTCAGCAAAGGAGACCTTGGGGGCTCAGCACTTTTCGGCCGAGAAATTTGTCTTACCAGTGGTGGAGAGGAGTGTAGTTTCACTGGAAACGACTGAATAATACTGGAGCTGCCAACTGAATGCCCTGGAAGAGGGGAAGGGGAGCGTTGTGGAGATGTGGACTGTGGTGTTGGTGAGGGAGTGTGAGCTAGTGGCGACAGAGGGATATTTCCTGCAGATTTACGCCTCGGAGATCTGTACTGCCTTTGGAGCTTGGGTGCCAGGCCATGCAGAGAACTGGGTCGGATGTGTCCGGAGCTGGCTGGAGAATTTGGGACACTGGAGCTGGGAGAGCTGCTCTGGGAAGAATTGCCACCAACTTAAAAAAAAAAAATAAAATAAAAAAAAAAGAGTAGACCAAAAAGATTATTATGTATTTTGACTATTAAAACTACTTCTTGAAAATAAGACAGGCAAAGGCAAGACAAAATGCCACGCTATAATAAACCACTGCAGTAATGTTACCAAGCCATATTCTATGGTTTCCATTGAAAATTCACATCATTGTCACAATACCATAAGACAGGAAAAAATCATTCTGCTAGCAGAATATTTTCTCTGCAGAAACTCCAGGCACACAGGCCATGTGTTTCAATGCTATTCTCAGGATGCAAATCCCGTTATTCTGTCAGTTAATCTAATTTTCAAATATGGCTTTTCCGTAGTGCTTTGATTCCTTTCCTCAGAACTAAGACCGAAAATGTGTCAAATAGCTATAAAAACATTGCAACTTACAACACACATTTGCACCACAGCAAGAGGATAACGTAGCTCAGCATTTGCATTCTTAAAAGCACATACGGATTTTTTTCGTCAAGAGTAAATGAATGAGAATATATCCTTATACATATACCTTATGCATACACCTATGTAGTAGTCGTCATTTTACTTCAAAAACAGATCTATCATCTGCTGCTCTGTATTTTATTTCAAAAATGGAACAATAAGTAAACATTAAAATTTTCTCCAAATCTTGTCCACTGGCCCCCTTCCATGCCCTTCCACCTATGTTTTCTTCATGTTTGTTTTTATTTTTATTTTTACCTGAATGCACAGACTCGGGTGTGGATCTGTAGCTCTGTGTAGGTGAGCGAGGAGACAGATTGTGAGTTGGAGAACCAGGTACACTTTCTCCAGAAGAGAGCGAGCGGTTTAGAGAAGACAAACTACGGCTGGTGTGAAGCAGCGATGCTTGCTTAGTGATCTTCCTGAACAAAGAACTCTTCTTCTTACTGTGGAAAAGCATTAAAAAGATGCTTAAAAGCCCAAATGTCTTGTATTTATCAGCACATTTCACTCAATTTAATAGCACTCAAAGAACAAAAGAAAAAGAAAGTAAAAACAAAGGCTGTTCCTGCTGGCAGACATCAGGTGCAAATTGCTTTGGCAACACCTCTGTTACATTATCTTGGTTACCATGTAATTTTCATGCAGAAATATCAACACTAACCTTTCCTGCCCATCTTTAGTTCTGCTTTTCTTGTTCCTCCGAGCCATCTTGGATTTGTAGCTGGCCTTTCGGGCTGGCCCAACTTTGATGGACGTGTTCTCAAATGGCGTGGTCGAGATGGACACTTTATTCCCACTCTGTCAGAAACATGGAGCAGACACAGTTTAAAAGACAGCTTCTGGAAGCAGATCTGCAGGCTAAGCAGGTAGACAGCTAGTTTATTACTGACTGCCATTTTGTAATCCTATGTCAAACTCCATTTCCCTCTTTGCCTTTCCACCTATCATTTATTAAGGAAGACCTGAGAGAGAGCCCTCTTTAGTCAGGCTTTCACAAATGATTAAATCAGATCCCAGCTGGTGGGTAAAGCTTCACAGAGCAGAGAGAACATGGCATCTGACCTCTCCCATTGACATCCCAACTGCCTCAGTTTAATATTCATACAGCATCAAAATGCAAGGGTGCTAGACGCCAAAGAAATGCTATTAAATGATATCATCAGGCATCTTCTGTTTGGAAACTTGAACAAAGTGCTACTCTGTCACCAATCCTACTTGCTCTTTGCAGTGTGCTGCCTGATGGCAGACGTGAGCATATCAGGCATCTGTCAAGATGAATCTGTGCCACAGAGCATGGCTCGTCTCAGCTCGGAGGGGGGGAAAAATTTGCTCCTCTATCTGTGATCCCAAAGACTTCTTGGAACTGTCTAAAACTTCAGGTTTTATTTATATAAATGAATTCAGCTTTGAGAAAGTATCAAAATGCAAGTCATTTAACTGGATAATTTTAAGACCAACCATTACAAAGCTGCTTTTAAATACCACTGGGAATAATCCTTGAGAAAGCAGTATTAAGAGCTAATAACATTAGCACAGCCTAAAGCCAAAAAAAAAAAAAAAAAAAGAAAGAAAAAAAGCAATTTGGAAAATTTTGAAGGTATTTGTTTCTTAAAGTGATGCTGGAGGAAAGGTATACTTAAATCTCATTAACCTTTCTTGCTGATGCTGCTAACTCTGCATCTGGCGAGTCCTATTTCTCACAAAATAAAAGCTTGGAATTCAGCTGAAATTACGTGCAGACAATTTTGCAGCTACAGGGATCAGGCTACACCAGTAAGTTTTTGCAAAACAAAGGCCAGATGCCATGTGCTTACTTTGTACTTCAGAAAAATGGAAATGAGGTAGCTGCAGTGTTTTAAACAAGCTGTTTCATACTTTGCCTATCGCCCGTGCCCCGAAACAGCCCAGCACCGAGTGCCCACCTTCAGGATCAGCTCCACCACCTCCGTGTGCACCAGGCCGTGGACGGGCTCTCCGTTGACGTGCGTGATGAGATCCCCTTCCCGCAGGCCCGCTTCGTTAGCCGGCCCGCCCTCCTCCACGTGCTGGCAGTGAGAAGGGAAGGCTGATTTGAGCAGAGGAAGGGACAAGCTGCGCGGCCGGCTCGGCTCGTGCTGTGGCCGGGGTCACAGCTTCACAGGCGGCAGGAAGCAGCCCGTGGCTGGCACAGCCAAATTCCTCTCCGCGCTCTTCCTCTCCCACAGCTCCCTAGCGCTCGTCTCCTGATCCCAGGCAGATGTGCAGGGCGGTTCAGCTGATCGAAAGACCAGCTCCTCCCAAAGCAGGACTCTTAACACACTGTCAAAATTTTTCATCACCCTGAAATGCAACCTCAGTTCTCTCAGTCTGCAGGTTAGGTATTCAGTCCTTTCCAAGACCTTTGCTGTTGCATTTCCAGCAGCTTTACACATACTTGCTAGCAACCGAGAAGGCAAGAGGCTTCTAAATAAGACTCCATGCCATGCACTCAGGTTGTCTATATTGCATCTAATTCCAAACAGGTGTTTTTCCACTTTCCATTCCTTATTAAGCTACACAACATAAGGCCTTTTCCCCTGACCACGCTGCCTCTCCCCCACCACTGGGCAGAAAGGGGAGCCACATTTATGTGGCTGACAGTTATGCTTGACAATATTTCAACTCTCCCTCCAGCCAGAAGAAGTTACAAATCGGTATCTTGATAAATTTGGCATTTTCCAAACAGCACAGAGGCAAAGGGGAAGAAATGCAGCTCCAGATTATGTCTGTATGCACAAATGAATGTTAAGCGACGATCAACATGTATGAAATCCAAATAATTCAATGAATACAGAGACAGATGAAAAAGAATGAGCCAGCTTTACCCTGGCTCCCTCTAACTATTCACATGACACTGCTTCAGGGAGAGGATCAGTCCTACAGGCCACATACATTATCAGACAACACAGAGATCAAGTGCCACAATTTATGTGAAGGAAGAGATACGGACAAGGAAACCAGACCTTGTGAGATAGCACAAGACAGCTGAACCAAGAGCTAAATCCCTAGGCAATCAGCACGGCAGCGTGATGCTTGAAGGCTTGTAATCAATTCCAAGCATCTGCTTGGAAAACGCCAGCAGGCTGAGCTGATGGCGAGCAGACCATCATCACTAACACAGGTCTGAAAAAAACAGCTCTAATTGCCCCTCATGCAACAACCCCAACAGGAATAAAGAGGCCATGTGCAAAGAAACATGCTTTAAAATATGAGTTACAGGAGAAAGGAAGTGGATTCATGTAACCGGGGAAGAAAGAAAGAAGAAAGGTGGCTGTGATTCCATGAGGGGCTTGAGACCTGCCACACTTAAACCCAAAATGCTGTTACTGATTTTTAAGGATTTCCCCCACCCCAAAAACATATTTTTTGGTCCAAATAGGGACAGTGGAAACAGAGTGACAAAACACAAGGCATAAAGCTAGATCCCCCAGTCATGGCATTTGTGGACCCCAGGGTACTCTTTTGAGAAAAGCAGAGACATACCCAGACCATGTGATGCACAGTGTAGATATCACTGTCACCCATATAGACGCGAATGGCACGGAGAGTGAAACCGTATTTCTTTCCAGCCCGATGGATGATGATTGGTGGTTTCAGGTTTGCGATAGCAGGAGAAAAGTCGCGGCTGGGTGAGGAGTCCCTCGAAGATGGGTTTGAGGAGAGAGAATGAGGTGACATTGGACTAGCCAATGGGGAACACGTGTGGTGATCTACAGCGATGACACAAAGGGGTGCAAAAATTAGGAAACCAGGCCTCCAAAAGAGATAAAAGTCTTGTTAGAGAACAGCTAGGAAACTATCTCTCCCAACGCCCTTGAGAGCTGGTGGTCTTCTTCACAAGCAGGGCTTTTCCTGCAGCATTAATTAAATCCATGCCACAAATATGAAAATCAGTGGGGTTTCCAAAGAGCATGTTTGGTAATAGGTATTTAATAGAGCAGCTCTGCTCATCTGGAATTACGGCTCGGTTACAGTATTTACTTCTTCTGTTTCAGGGACTTATAACCCATCATAAATATTTGCTCTAGGCACAATCTTGGAATAGTCCATTTAAAAGTTATGAAATACTGCCCCTCTCCACAAGATCAGGTACTTTCTAGAACTTGATGCAAGTTGCGTGTGTGTGCTCAGGTGCACCAAAGCCAGTTAGTATTCAAAAAAGAAAAAAAAAAAAAAAAAAAAAAAAAAAAAAAAAAGCAAAGTGATCAAACACCTATATCTAGGTAATTTTTTAAAATTCATTGGAGCAAAAATATTTAACCCCAAAAAAGTAGCTAATGCAGAAACATTGCTACTTAGAACATCATGAGTGTACTTTAGGGAGCATTGTGGATCTCAGTTCCCACTGATGTGGCTGTGACTCAGCTGGGCTACTGACTAAAATACCTGACTCTGCCTGCTAACATAACAATATCCACATATAAAAAACTCAGGGCAAATACACAACTCTTATTTTAAAGTGAAGCTGGTCAACATCAGTAAAACAACTCCAAACAGTAGGAGTATTAAAAGCAGCTGTAAAAAGAAATCCTAAATCCGTTAAGAAACACCTACTGAATCACCCAGCATATATTTACCTGGCAGATGAGAACAGCCCTTGCAGAACCTTTGCTGGGTGATTAAATACCATTTTAGAGATTTTCAGAAGGGAATTTGTAGTTACAAAAACAACCATGGCCCAGACCACATGAAATGAGATGTGCATCATCCCAGTGGTGCCAAGAAGCAATTTCAGGGCTGTCTCCAGCTGAGTCAGGTGAGCAGGTACTGCTTGACCTGCTGGGCTGGCACTCATGGCCCAAATGCCATTTCCTGCTCCAATACAAGCTAGAGCCCAGGAACACTGGGAAAGGTCTTTTCCTCTGGAGAGAGGGAGAAATCCCTGGTAGGGAATGTCTCCCGCTGAACCAATCTTTTATAGTTCTGCCTGGCAGGGCTGCTGGCCATGAGTTAGCATCCAGCATCAGGAATTGTCAGGGTTTGTCTTACAGAGAGCTGGACAACAGCGTAAGTTATTCAGCATTAACTTCCTTGGTGAGTCACACTATCGAATTCCTGAATATATCCATAGCATTTAATCAAGATATCTGAAGTTATGGAAAATTCCCCTGTGCAGGAATGCACCAGAGGCGTGCAGTCCCCAAACAACACAGTGATTAGGTGCTGGTGTGTGACAATGAAATAGCACTTTGAGATTTAAAAGCATTCCCGGGCTACATCCCTCCTTGCTACACCACTGCCTAGGGACCAGCTTACGCTCCAGGAGCCAACTGAAACAAAAAACTACTCTTGGAAACAGCAAGGGCCAGCTGCCATTTACAGAAGCTGCAGTCAGACCCCCCCAATAAATACTCTTTGTCTTTGCAGGAGCAATATTCGTTATCCTAGTGAGGGATAAATATTCACCAGCTGTAAAGTTGGGATCGTTCCCCTCCTGCCAGCTACGGCTTTGCCACGGGAGCGCGGAAGCGGGAGGCCCTATCTGCAGCTCTTTTGTTTAGTGCTTGCAGACTCTGCAATGCCCAACACGAGGCATTTCTTACCTGAGGGAATCAGGAGAGACAAGGCAGTAGCGGATGCTGATTTAATCACTTTATTGACAGGTCTCGAGGTACGTTTCTCCCCTGATTCCCCAGAGAGCAACCTGTGCCGTGCCCGCCGCACTGCCAAATCGCTGATGGCTTTTGGAGTGGTAAAGTCTGGGCCTTCATTGCTATTACTGCGAGCGCGTGGATCAGAGAAATCTGCAGTGCTCCCAGCTACAGTTTAAATTAAAACAGATTAGAACCACAGGGAATTCCTAACAGTCTATTCCCCTACAGGCAAAATACATTAAATCAAAGTCATGTTTACATGAAGTCCAAGAGTAAATTTTCCTAAGAAGAAACCCCAGGGCTTGAATTCTTATTTACAGAAATGGTGTTATTCTGAAAACAGAAAATTAGCAGCTTCTGTTCTGTTGGAAAAGCTTGGTAATGAAATCACATTGCTCAGTAGCAGAGTTGCTTGAATCCTGAATCTATGGTGCAGCTCTGCACATAAACCATTTCAACAGAATTGTTCATAGATGGAAACAAGTTTATGGCAAGTGCTCCATTTTTACAAGCAGCAAGAACTGTCAATCTTAAAGTTAAAACCTGTCTGTAAGAGAAGAGCCAGGTTTTATTGTTCTTGCACATAAAAAAAAAAATCACTTTAACAGAATAGTAAGAGACTAAATTCAGGAAAAGCAAAAACATCACATTTCAGTCTTGAATTACTTAGCCTTCTATAATTGTATATAAAAATGCAAAGTAAACAGCAAAATGAGGCCAAGTCTCTCAATCTGGGCATGCAGCATTAGCAGATACAGGAAGGGAGCGTGTCCCCAAGCTCTGTGCCTCAGGTCCCCAGCTGATACCTTAAAGGGGCACCATGAAAATACATTAATTAAAACTTGCAAGGTGCTCAGAAATGTGAGCGGTGAGCAACGCAGCAAGTCCATGAGGGAAATTAATCATTCCGTCTTCAAAAGCAAATTTGGAGCGGCGTGCAATAAATAAAGCCTAAGGGCCACATTTTGAACAAGGAAGACAGAACAAAACATTGATCACGGTGATTTAAGTGGGCACCACTGCTCTGCATACTAAAAGCAGGGAGTACGACGAAATAAAAATGCAGAGCACCATTCCCATAATCTGCAGCACCAGATTCCAGTTCAACACTTAAGAGCCACAGTTTCAAATTAGGCTCCCACACAATGAGGAACCCAGAACTGGAGGCTGTATGTGAAAAGGCCAATTTAGGCATTAGAGGAGCACTCTGAGGCAGTGATGGGAATGAAATTCCTTTTCCTGCAATTCTCTGCCTCTGACTTTGCTTTGCAGGCAGGGGATGCTCTGAAGCAATGCTATCCCTGAATCCCAGGCACTAACTGAGGCACTGGAAGATCTGAGGAGCATGGAATTAAAGACTATTAAAGACTGCACAAGGGTGCAGGCTGCCCAGAGAAGCTTCATTTTTGCATGTCACGACTTCTAGATACTCGAATTTGCAATAAGAGTATTCTTGTATTTTTATTTTCATGTAGGCTTTCAGTATGAAATGGAGAAGCTCAGATCTTTATCCCACACTTTCACCATGACACTTGGGTCATCTGGGAGTGTTGTAGATCACTTCAATCATACCTAAGTCATTTCACATGAATTAATGGAATAATCGTAGGCACTAACAGGCTCTCATCTTCTGGGATAGAGAGGTAGCCACAGAGGTGAATGTGACAATTTGGGAGCAAACGACCCTTAGAACGGATTGCAGAGAGGAATTAACAAGAGGTGGAACCTCAGGTTTCACTCCAGGCTTGGAGACAAGCTTGCACTAAAGCCTTTCCACCTCCTTCCATCAACTCACCATCACAGTGTCTGAGTGCCCTTCACTGCGTCCAGTCTCCCTGCCACTCTGACTCCTTGTCCCTGTCCCTTTCCCTACCACCCTCACTGCATCCACAGCCTCTCAGCCTGCTTGCTCCCAGTTTACTCTAGCAACTCATTCTCTTACCCAGTTAGCCCTTATCCCTCAACGCTGCACTCTAGTGCTGCAGTACGGGCAGAGTCATCTGAGAATCCAAGCACTGGTTCTAAGACAACTCAGTCAAACTTAGGCAAGTTGCCTGTTTTTCAGCTTATAACTTGGCCAAATTTAGGTATATTCGGCTGAGGTAGCAAATAGTGTGTTCCTGACATAAGAGAGACTCCTTAGGCAAATTTCAAGTCTTTACTGCAAACTAGAGCTTTTCAGAGGGAAAAAAAATCACGGGAAATGCTTTTTCGTTAATGAGTTAAACATCCTCATTCTCCAGTCTCAATCAGAAGTGACCTGCTCTGATTACTGCTTAAAAATTTCTGCCTCAGGTAGGTGCAGATCCTATTAAGAGTAAATGGGTCTCAAGCATGAGAAGCCCTTAATCAATTTGAAATGACAGGACTGCAATAAAAGATGCAATTCTGACGAGATTAAACTACTGGCATCACTTTGAAGGCAAGCAGAGCCACCAAGCCATAGTAAAATACTACTTAGCACGAGGCAGTCGCAGTCCTGCCTGTCCAAATCCGCATTGCTGCACAGTGGGTACCCACAAAATAAAGGGGTTTCGTTGGGGCGGCCGTGGGGCCGTATACGTACCTGTCAGCGTGGAGGTGCTGCTGGCGCCCGTGGATGGCGCGGCGGGTCCCGTGTCGCCCTCGAGCTGCGGCTCTTGCTCCAGGGGCTGCTCGGGGATGGGCAGGGGCAGCCCCTCACGGGCCTGCGCAGCGCCCAGCAGCAGCCCCTCGGCCGGCGGCCGCTTCAGCGCGCCGGCCTCCTCCTCGGCCGAGATGGCGAAGCGGGGCATGTCGAGGAGCCCCGAGCAGCGCCGGCGCACCGTGAGCGGCGGGCTCGAGTCGCTCTCCGTGTGCGACGACTCGGACATGGAGAGGCGCTTCCGCAGGCTAGGGGGAAAAGTAAGATGGAGCTCCCGGTTACGTTACAGGAAGAACAAATTTCAGCGGGCTGGGGGGAGTCCCCAATTCCCCTCTTGGCGTCCCAAGGCTGCTTCAGATGTCGCTCGGAGGCCAAGCTACATCATGAAGATATAAACCAGCAAAGGCCGGGGGCATTGCCTGAGTTTGGAATGCCACAATACGCCATTATTAACCTCCTAAGGTAGGAAGGAATAAACAAAATCCCAAAATATAATATGAATATGAAATCAAGTATTATTCCAATTAATTATAAGAAAAAGGTAGATGCAAATCACCACCCACATTGCCTTTGGAATTAGATTGCTAATTTTGCTTTCAAAATTACTGTATATTTAAGGAAGTCCCGATACAAGATGAAGCGTGTATCAGTTAAAAATCTGTAAAATGATTTCTGTATGGAGTTGTACAAATGAGATCACGACAAACGACATTTTACGATCTTTGTAATATAACATATTAGTATAAAAGCTTTACAAGAGCTAGAAAAAAGTGAAGATATCCCTTCATAATATAAATTTGACATTTCAGTCCTACTGGATGCATGGTGGTGTATCCAAATTCCAAGCAATCATATATTTTGTTGACATTTTTACCTGAAGCAAAATTTGTGGGGGTTGTTCCAAACTTCAGAAAATCTGGACTAGCTAACCGTTTATGTTGCAAGAGAGAAAACTGCTGGCAATACCAGATTTTGGATTCCTTGATGTTTAAGAAAAAAAAATCTTTTGGCATATCTCCAACATAACTAGCCTGTCTGCAAATGAAGGACTTTCTTAAGGTTAGAATTCCTTTAACTTCATTTGAAGTACTTACTACAACTTCAGGAGACGCTAGTACTTAAGTGGATATACTTAAGGAGTATATCACTTCTACAAATTCATTTTCTGCTATTTATTCTACTCTCCAAGCTCTACCTTTGGAAATAGCCCATATGAAGCATTTCTGAGCTAAGCTTGACAGGAAGAAGGCACAAGGTTGTCTCATATACTGCAGGAAAATCATAAGATTCAGTTGCACTAAACTTACATTTCAGGAGATCCAATCACCCAGCTGCGGTCCCGACTCTTCAGGCCACCAAGGCTGTCTAGTCGGTCATCTTTTTCTTCACTTAGGCTCCGCTTAGTCGGTGGCGGAGTCTTCCTCTCTTCATGGATGGAAAGACGCTCCATGCTGCTGTACACCTGCACAAAGCAAAAGATCCTTCTGTGCAAAGAAAAGAGAAAATCCTACGTGACCTTTCCCAGCCAAGCTGGGATGTGAGCTCTTCAAAATGGCAGATATTCACTGAAAGCATGAACTTGGCAATGACCCTCGGCTAAATAACACAGAATGCAGTGCAGCTGGGACATGCTCTTAAGTGTGCTGTGGAAAAAAGGAAAAAGGTAAACTTCAGAAACAACAAAAATTCTTTTTTACAACAACAGCCAACACTTGTTCTCTGTAAACAGCACAATAGGATGAGTTCTTAAACTCACATAGATTTTTCCTCACATAGAAATTGCTAAAATAAGCTCCACAAGTCTTGAAGGTTGGCATCTGGATCTTGAAATCTTACAACACAAATTCAATTTGGTGATAGGCATCATGCTCATGACCCCATTTCATTATCATCAGTCTATCAGCATTGCCCTGAGCTCAATTCAGAACAAAAAAGTCCTGCCCTCCTCAAGGAATCTTCTACAATGCTGACAGCTTAATGAAAGTGCCTCTCTTGGTTGTACAGCCGTCTTTAAATAATTAAATGATTAAGCAAAAAAATCCATGCTTTTAAAACTACACTTGACTGTAGACCTAATTTACATAAGAAGAGATTAATGAAAATAATGTTATTAAAAATTCAGAGCATCAACAAGATAACTATTAATAAATCATATGGCTGAATTGTCAGACAAGAATTTCAAAATATAATGAGCCTTTTATGCCTCCCACACTACAAATGCTGTATAATTTTCCAGGGCTTAAAATAAATTCATTAAAAGTGAACTTTTTCTCTTTGTGGCAAAAATACTTAACCCTAAAGAAAAGCTTCAGTCTAACAGATGAATAAATACTCACAGTGAGAAAGGAGGGTAGAAAAGAAAAAAAAAAAAAAAAAGAAACCTTTACATACTCATGCAAACTTTTTCAAAAATGCAACTAATCTTCAGATCAATCTTAAATATGTTTTTGGTGATGCAGATCAGGAGCTACTCCATAAAATTACCGGTAACTGTTACTCAAACCACTGCAGCCCAGCTGAGAACACAGAAGGGTGAACTCGTGCTTCAAGTGTGACCTCAGTACTGGAAACCTAGAGACACTGCTGTGCAAAAAAATGAAATACCTTTGCAGGGCCCTGCATAAAATCCTTACCCTCATGCTTATCTAGAAAAGGAAAATAATGTTTATAGAGTATTATTCTTCCCTTCCCTGAACATTGTTTCATTAAAGTTAATAGTGGAACTGTACTACTTCAAAATGTCTGGAATCTCAGCTTTTATTTCAGACCCCCTGAACAAGAACTCCAGATCTGTACAGACCTGGATTAAATCCAGAAAGTACGGCTAGAAAGGAGCTCCTCAGGGCATCCTGTCCATTTCCCTACCTCAAAGCAGACCCATCGCTCTCTTAATCACCAGGCAGATGTTTTTCCAAACTGTTCTTAAAAGCCGCCAGTGATGGCAGTTGTACAAATTCCCTAGGCAATTAGCGCCTGTGCTTAATTACTTTCCAACACTGGAAACTTGTCTTTTTATCTTGTAACTTCTCTGTGGCAGCTTAGGCCCATGATTTCACGTTAATTCTGAATGAAATAGGAAAAATGTATTCCCTTCCTTCAGCAATTTTGTGTTTGAAAACTGCTATCTTGCCTTTCTCTGCTTCTCTCTCAGTCTTCGCTGCTCTAGACTGAACTTCTCTCCTAGCTTTTAAGTTTTATGTTTCATAGATCTCTGATCATTCTTGTTCCTTCCCTCAGGTCTCCCTTTTACTGGTCTTTATTTCTTTTCAAGAATAATGCCCAAAACAGGACAGAGTGCTCCCCTAAGCCCTTCCTACTGCTGAACAGATGAAAAGGATTTCTTCACTTGCCGTGCAGAAAATAATCTTCCCTGTCCAGTATGATAACTGCATTTTTTTCTTTTATATAATTTCACATGTTTAACTCAAGATCCACGATAAGCCCAGATCCTTCTCGTTGAAACTATTGCCTCATCTTTTGTTCCTTGTCCTGTATTTCAAATGATGAGAAGCACAGGTCTATACCTGCATACTTCACATTTGCTCTTACTGCATGTGATTCCTTTGATTTTTAATCATTATTCCTAGTTGTCAAAATCAATTTTCATCCTCCCACCATCTTCTCACCTACTGGAAGGCTCTTCCAGAACAACCCTGTCTGAAGGAAATAAGCACACCTCCCTATGCCATTATCTGAGTCTTTAGTGAAAACACTGAGCAACATCAGAAGCAGGGGAACCCTCTGTAGAACCCCGAAAATTAGTGAGAAGGGGTTCTAGAGAAACAAGAGAAAAGGACAAGATCTCACTCTCAGAGCACAGAGTAATCCAGTAGGTACACAGTTCTTCCCTTTCTCAGTGAATATTAGACAATATGTGGCTCCTATATTATCATCCACACTGTGAAAATTACCTCCTACAAGGCAATAGTGGCCTGAGGAATTACGTTCCTCTTTAGATGTTCCTTTCAACAAACCAGCCCGCTCTCACCTTGCTGAACCTTGGCGAGCACGAGGAGAACTGCCTAATTTCCACGTGATCGTCATCATTTGTGTCCTCCTCCTCTTCAGAATCCAGGTGTTGGTACCGTTCCGAGCGGGCTGCGAACAACACATGGCACATTTAATCAGTGCAGGAAGCGCTGATGACTCGTGTAATACACCCTCAAGCAGGACACGCGTACGCAAGAGCAGCCCTTGCACCGATTCCCACTTGTCTACCTACAAAGAACTCTGAGTGTTCACACAACACGAAGAGCATTTGCTTTAGAAGTGAAACGCACCCAGCCCGTTTTGCTCATCCTGTACAATAAGCAGTGAAGAATACTTCGTTCTTCACATCGACTGAACTTATTGTAAGCCCTCAGCTGTATTATATGCTGAAAGCAGTTGATTCTCAGCAGAAATCATACAGATATCTAATCCTGTAGACCCTTCTTTATAAAAGTATTTCCTCAGGCAAACAATAGTATGGAAGGAAACAGGAAAGCAATTCACTGTGTCCCAGTTTCCAATGAAAGGGCTTCGTAATGCACCAAGTCCACCTATATATATGAGTTGTTTTTGAAAAATAGAAATATTTACCCCTCCCAATAGATTCTCTTCTCCCTCCCACAACTAGCAAATGGATTAGATTTTGTGAAAGGAAATGGGTAAGTAGCCAGTATGCAAAGCTATTTTTTAATGCAAAAATCTAAAATGCCTCCAAAGAGATTTTGTGCTTTGAGATTTGCAATACTGGAATTCTAAGCCAGCCACACCGGATTTTGTGGTGGGGGTTAATAAGTTTGGCTACAGAAAGCTGATAGCTGTACTGAGCCAAATTTGCTGCATTGTATGAGCCAGAAAGCTACTTTTGTAAATTCTGCATTTTTCTGCATTAGGGTTGAGAACAGCAATGCCATCTCTTTACGGTGTCCATGTGAGATGTTTCCCAACATAAGAATATCCCAGCCTTTAGGAAGGACATGCTTCAAAGCTGCCCTGCCAAGGTCATGAGTGTGTCACGATACTCAGGGAGCTGCTGCATGGCGGAGGAGCAGAGCAGCAACGGGCTCATGAGGCGACGGGGTCAGTGAGGCCCTGGGAGCAGGATGGAAGAGATTCCTTTGTTGTAGGGCAGAAATTCCTACAGCTCAGGGTTGGAAATATCCAAATATCATAATTAGCTAAAGCTATAATAAGGGGAAGACTTCCTGAGTGGTGTCCAGCTCATCTCCCCAAATCAAGGGAGCAGGGGACAGAGACAGCTCCATCACCCTCCAATAGCTCTGACTTCTTGGTCGGGGCTGATCTGGAAATACCACAAGCCATACACTGTATATGGTTATGTACACTGTTATGTACAGAGGCAACTCTTATAATTTAATTAAATAATTTAGGTTACTTTAAAATTGTAAAGAATTTCCCCTCCTGATTTGTGTTCACACTTTGGATTCTTTTCTAAAAACACTTTTTTTTCTTTTTTGGCTGAAAACAGTCACTGGAAGCGGGATATACCAACCTGCTCTGAAAGTACTGCAACAAACCCATATAACACACATTGCACTGTAAGGGAAAGGCAGGGAGATCCACAGGCACCAGTGAAAAAGCAGCAGACTTTACAACAACGTTTTCTATTTAAAACTATTTTGCTTTCAATATTTGGCCTTCGACAAAAACTTTTTAAAGAAATTCCCATCAAGTGCTTTATTCGATACCTGTCAGTGATTTATACTTAACACTTTTTTTGATAAAATGAAATATGCACAAAGAATGAGATGTAATTTATGTTGAATCTTTAGTCTTACTGTCAAAATAGCTTGTGTCATCCTCAGATTCCAACTGTGGAATGAATTCGGCTTTCTGTCGAAGTAATCCATTCCAGTCCAAATCTTTAAAGAACCGGTGCTGTTTCACTTCAAAGGCACTACCTGAAATGAGCACCTTTTATTGCAGAGTTATTTCTTTTAGCGTTTTCATAACAAGAAATACAAACTCTAAAAATATCAAGAGCCTGAAAGAAAACCTGAGTACCTAAGTGACTCATTTCCCAGGAATTTTGAGAAATAACCTATCTTTAATACAGGATAAAACGCGAACAAACTTCCTCCTTCCCACCTCTTTTTCATATTTAATGACAGCACCTGACTAAATTGGCTGGAAGACAACATCTGCCATCACATTCCACACCAAGCTGCAAGATTAAGAACTAATCAACTTCTTAATTTAAAATTTCCAAACTCTAAATACCATCTTGTTCATAGCTAAATAAAGAGTGCAAACTCAGAAGGGTACTTAGGTAGTGAGTGGCTCTGCTCCAGTCAGTAACGTCATCTATGTGCTTAAAATGAGGCAGGGGCTTAAATCTCCTTCTGAATTAGAATCTTTGTTATTAACCTCAGAAGTTTGGGTGCCCAGAAGGAAAAAGTAAGGATTATCTATCTGCTACTAGGTGTATTTCTGTTCAAATGAAATTAATATTCATAAAAGATACTACTGTCTTTAAAAAAAAAAGCAGAGGAAGCGATAAAAGGTTTGCTGAATGCCAGTGGCAGCCAAGTAGAACAGCAGTCTCAGCAATACAGGTGTATAAGGAATCAAAAAATCAGCCCATCAACTCATTTTATAAAGCAAGGAACTCTACAGCTTTTCCATGACAGCATCATCTTTCAACTAGATGGATCTGAAGTAGAGAAGAACATGTGAACACCATCTGATTATACTATTAACTCATGATCTATTCCTCACGCTTGTTTGCGCATGTGTGAAGTCGACTGAATAAAAGCACCTTTCAGAATTGCCACATACTTGGTTTATATTTTACCCTCTAAACGTTATTTCCAATTAAAAGTCCAAAGTTAAATCAAACAAATGAAATTAATGAAACAGACAACCTGTGCTGTGAGTATGCAGCATTGAACCAATGGTTTTTAAACAGTAAGGTAGCTCAGATCATTGATGGCTATTTTCTATTGGGAAGTAGAAGAGCTGCCTTGTAAAAGTTTCAATCTGACATTACAATGAAGAAAAAAAATGACACATAGACCTGACTTTGCGAAAGACACTATCAGATTTTGGATCTTTGGAGAACTGTTCAGCACAGTCTTCTACAAATGGGCAAGTTTTCATTTATTTTATTACACCCATAAATTCTCATCAGCATAAGGGCTTACTCCCCTAGTCAAAGAGAATTTTCAAAGGGAATTTTTCAAATTGAGACACAACCCTCAAGCCTGGGATAGCACAAATAACTGGAACAGCCCCAATTTGAGATGTCATGTTGCCAAGTTGTAGGTAAATTCACTTAGTGGCTCTTTGTAGTTTCCCAAACAAGACAGCAATATCTGTCTGACTCACACATAGCCTACACTAGCTCTCAAACCTTCATCACACGAGATTCATTCAGACTAACACAAATTGTTTCACAGATCTAAAGCAGCGTTTTTCAGCTCTATTTGGTGTGCTTTACTAACAAGGTAGATTCTTTGTTTCTTGGGAGTACTTTCCCACACACAAGGTTCTTACCTGTTCCCATTCTTTCCAAAGGATTTTGGCGAAGCAGCTTAGAAATGAGGTCCTGGGCATCTGGAGGCAGCGCATCGTCACCATCTGGCCAGGCAATTTCATCTGGGAAGAAAAAGAGACTTGACATTTTCCACTTCGTTCATGAATGATTTGAATAATCATTCACATTCCTGTACCACAGGATGCAGTGTTCAATAGTGTCCCAGAAACGCAAATACCTTGAATTTAGCAGCTTGCATACTTAATATAATTCAAGCATTGACATTTTCCAAAATGCATAAAATTCAGCCTCAAATAAAGCTGCTGTCAATCCAAGCAGTGCTTGTGGAGGAAAAAAGGAAAAGCATTAAAAACTCTATTAATAAAGTATGAAATGGGACTTCTGTGACAATCCACAAACAATGACAGGGACAATGCTGTGGCTGTATCTCCTGCCTGCACATTCAAGTCGGTTATACTTGGAACAACGAGAACAATTCACAGGTAACCATTTCATGTATCAAATTTTGCTCTTCACTGAAATTCGCTTTTCACAAAGCACATTTGCCGAGTCTTAAAAAGAAACGTGTTTCAGAAAGCATTCCCAATAGGAAATGCTTTCACTTCATATTCACGGAGAGAACACAAAGTAAGCATTTGTCCAACTCTAAGCAGGAGACAGGTTTAAAAACCCACAAGATATGAAGGTACTGAGCACAACAGCATCCCTTTGTTTTGTTCTAGATACTTTTTTGCTTCTACAATGATTACTAATTGGCTGACTCCGAGATACTTCTATCAATGTGCACGGTGTGAGAGTCATACATTTGTACAAGAAATTTTCCTTGTATGATTGGGGGAGAATATTGGAGTGTTTTCTGTTCTGTCTGTGAATTGATAGGATGTAGAACATGAAAGGCAGCGTATTCACTTCCATCTTATGTTATCCTTTCTGGAGGCACAAAAATATCTCAGAAGGTGTTAAGCAACTCAAGACTCAGGATTTAGCATCAGCTTAAGTCTACTTTTTTGACATAGAAATACATTTTAAAATATGAACATTATTTTATATTTTGTCTTTCCAGACTCAACTGACCTCAATATTTTCTAGGTTTTGTTTGATAGCACACTTGGAAAACCCTTCAGAACCAGAACAAAACTTACCACTGATCACTTGTCCGAAGAGCTCTTCAGGTGTGTCACCAAAGAAAGGGACACAGCCAACTAAAAATTCATAAAGAATAACTCCCATGGCCCACCAGTCCACCGGCTTCCCGTAGCCCTGCCGCAGGATCACCTCTGGTGCGATGTATTCTGGAGTCCCACAGACCTCAAAAGAAAACAGTCAGGAAAGAAATGAACCTACAGAGAGCCAAATTCATATAAAATACACATAAAATTCACTTTGGTCTATTCTGTTATTATTTTTCAGCTCATCCCTTTAAAAGGAATTTAGGGCTATCACTAATAATTCGAAGCTGCAAACTCTTTCCAGTAGTAAAAGTTTATACGAGGAACATATTCTGTCACAGAAATGCTGTCATATACTACAAAACATTGCTAGTGAAGTGGCTAAGCAGTACTTCGGTGCCACTACAGTAAAGCATATAGGAAAAAAATGCATATTCCATGTGCATAAATGTGTGTATATAATGGATTTCTATTGGCACAGCTACAGCTATCAGGGTCTGAACTTTCACAAATTTTGCACATCTCTCCTGGCAGAATTTAGCTCTACAGATGTAGAATCAGTAGCAGATCATAAGAGGAGGAGGAGGTTGCCTTGGGTTTAGAAGCAACAAAATAGTTGTAAAAAACAAAGCAAACTCCCTAAAAATGCAGGACGATGATCTAGCGACTATTAATGTTCCTGCAACAAACCCCAGCATTTCTTGGATGCAAAGGAGCCTGAAACCTGAGTGTGTGCTGCTTGCCACAGGGTGAGCATGAATCAAAACATGGCAAAGTTTAAAATAAAAAAAAAAAAATCAGTGGCAATCCTAGGATCTTTGCAGAAAAGATTTTTTTAATCCTATTATGCAAGGCACAGGTGGGTCTTCACCTAGAAAGTAGTGGACAGTTCCTCTCAACTCTGCTCGGGACAGATTAACTCCAGCAGAAACAGGTGCATTCATTCAGAGGAAAATTCTCTCTTGTTATCTAAAAGAACTTAGTTGGTTAAGCCTAGCAAAATGAATGCTATGGGGGAGAACGACCATGGTAAATATCCTAGGGATACTATCAGACAAAATCCCAAGAATAAACGTATAGGAACTTGCCAAGGACTTTGTAAGGACCAGAAGGGGGAGACTGTGGAACAACCTTCCAGGAAAATCAGTGACAAGTCCCTAAATAAACTACTCTGTTTTCTGTTCACACTTGCACTGCAGCTCATAACATACCTTGGAAATGCTAAACTATGATCCGAAGTGAATCACTCCAGTATGAGAAGTTAGTATATAAAGCAGAATGCCTCCTCATCATGTTCTACAATACACAGCACCATGTCAAGGCAAAGAGGCAGAGTTCTTCAAACTCTGATTCTGGCCCAAAATATTGTGTTTCTTAAGGTCCCAGTTCTGCATCTGAGTCCAATCCAATGGACAAAATGTTTCAGCTTACCTGCTTGTCCAGGAATTCCCTGGTGTCTTTCTCAATGTGTCCCTCATAGAGATTAGTTGTAAGACTCATTAAACCAATTTTAGACAATCCAAAGTCAGTAAGTTTAATGTGACCCATGGAGGTTATCAGGAGACTAGAAGAAAGAAGAAAAGCAAAATAATCTAATACTTGTTTCCCAAAAGGAGTTAAAATAAGAAAAATCACAAGATAATGCTAAGCACAGTCTCAGAACTGACAGGCACCTTGAAGGAACCTCCTATGAAACTGAACACCACAGAAGCTCCTTAGACAACCACAAATCAGACTACCTTCTGCCAAATTTCACCTGAGCAACAATACGTTTGTGATAATAGCTGAACAAAATCCTACTGCTTACTCTCATTTTTCTGCTATAAAGAACAAATGAAGATAGCAAGTAGTGCACGTAGCACCATACATTTTAGGTTCTGCACTGACAGAATGTTTCAACAGCACAGAGAGGGCAGAAAGGACCCAGATAAAACCATGCTCAACAGTTCTCAAAACCTTTATAGACCTTGTTTCCTGTTTTTCCAACAAGGCATGTGCATCACATCCCTCTTATACTTGCACAGTTTTGAGTTGACCCTAAGACTACAGATTATATTTTATAATATTGTCAAAAATTCTTGATCTCTAATACCAGCAGAGCTAGACCTGGTGAACTCCAGCCTAACACCCATCCAAATTCTGCTCCTAGGCCTCAAAGAGGTTTCCCTCATTCTTTCTCACTGCCAAACCGGTTCTGTACATCAGGAGTCAGAGACTCCCTAAATCCTTCTGTATTACTGGTCCTATCAAAATTTTCTTCTACTGTCTGTAGCTCCCATGTCCTCTTGCCTACAGAGAAAATCTCTGATGAATTGGGTCTCTCCTCCCCCTTCTGAAGAGCTGAACACTTACTTGTCAGGTTTTAGGTCACGGTGAACAATCCCATAATTGTGCAGGTACTCCAACGCCAAAACAGTCTCAGCAAAATACATCCTGGCCATATCAACAGGTAGGGCACCAATGTTCTTGAGAAGTGTAGCACAGTCACCTCCTAGAATAAAGTTGCAAATATGCCACAGTGAAAAGGGAAGTGTTAGTAAAGAAGGAAAAGCAGTACTACAATATTAGGAGAGAGTAAGCTTCCTAGAGGCTCTCTTGATTTGGTTTCTACATTTTTAAATCTTAGAAAAACTGAGTTCCATAGATGCTGGTATGCTTGTACTTCTCTGGAAAGGCACACTACAATGAACTCCACAAAGCAACAGGCACTGAAGTACTGAAATACAAAATGTAATTCAAGAGCAGATGGGCCTCAATCTCCAGTTCTTGGGGTCTCATCTTCATCCGTGGCAAAAAACACAGGCCCCTGATTTAACTTTTTAAGGAACACTGGCCACACATTTCTCTCTACGGTCTTCATGTCAGGAATACTCACCCAAGCAAGCCAAGTATAAGAAATTAATCCTACCTATCAATGGAAATATATTGCTTACAATAAGATAAAGAGATAAAATAAAAGACAATAAACAAACAAAGAAAGCCCACAACACAAAAGACTGTATTTTTGAAAAAGCTTAGAAAGAACAAAGACTGTGATGCTTGGTGGAGGTTTCCTAACTCTCTTTTTCTAACCTTAATGCCAAGCATGCTACAGACAGAAGGCCATGGTCTCCTTCAAGAGAACCACAGGATCTCTCTCTAGTGAAGACTGGAAAGTTCATGCTGACTTCTCACCCTAGCAACCCCTCTATATGTGGCTTTATGTTTCCTAAGCTCTGCTACAAACACATTGCATTAGTCACAGGGGTTTGCAAATGGAGTATCTCCTTACACAAAATCATGCTAGCAGCGTAGAATGACTCATTTCTCCAGCTCAGTCAAGTAGTCCAAACATCTCCTCCCTACATAAGTTTCACAAACTCCCTGCACCCAAGCAGGGAGACACAGCACTAGCTCTGCTTCCCTTACACAAAAAAAGCAGCATCACACACACAAGATATTTCTCCTGTTCATTACTTTCAGAGGACTGCATTGATCAATATTATACCCCAAAGTAAACATTTTATAAATCACTAGGAAATGTCATCTTTTATGATAGGAGACACTATGCATACCCTTCATGCACATTCTATCTGAGGTCCCTTTGCAAGATTAAATTATGACAAACATGCCAACATTCAACAGTACCTTCCACGTACTCCATAACCATGCACAGATGGCGCTTGGTCTCGAAGGAGCAGAACATGCTGACTACAAAGGGGTTCTCAGCAAAAGTCAAGATATCTCTCTCCACAAAAGCCTGTTGGATCTGGTTTCTCAAAATTAGGTTCTGCTTGTTGATCTTCTTCATTGCAAAACGTTGTCGGGTGGTCTTGTGTCGTACCAAATACACCGCCCTAAAAAAACACATACCAGGAGCAAAGGATCATTGTAGTGTCAGCTCACACTATTTTAAAGAAATAGTGGACAGTAACTGTTTTGGATGGATTCTGACAAACTTATTTATGAGGCCATAGAATTCCTCCTAAATGCCAAACTCTCCCAGAAAGAAGTAATCCCTTGATGATTTTCTTCTAAAAGGTACTCTGATCAGACCTCTTTGAATTAAGTAGCATTAGCATTGATGAGACTAACAAATGTCACTATCTTCCTTACACATCAATACAAAGGTATGTATTCTTCAACATTACAGTCATCATCTAACAAAAACATTGTCCAAAAAGCAACGAAGGGGCAAAATTTATTTCTAGCTCCATAACATGGATTTGATGTAACACCATCACCAGGGACTTCCTTCAGCAAAGTCTTTCTTATATTTCTATCATTTGCAGATCATTGGATTCCTGCATGTTAATAATACAGTTTGCAAATAAATTTTCCATCCAGTTTGCCTGGTGCATTGAATCAATGCTTGCCTCTTTTTCTCTGGAGTGTATTACATTTAACATGGGATTCTGTCTCAGAAACAGATGACTATGAAACACAGCCAGTTTAAAGGCAGGATATGAATTACAGCAGAACCTCCACCCCTTTCATTTTTACAGAGGTATGTTTAAATTCATGAGGTCTATGCAGAGGTATGACTGAAAGCACGTAAAATCTTGTGTCCTGCAATACGGCTCTTCAATTGGCTCAACTGTGTTTTCATAGATTAAAATATACTTGGACTCTTGCACATAATTTTTAAGAAATAAGCTGCTTTTAACTAAATGTGCACTTTAACAAAACACTTGAGTACGTCCTTAAGTTTTGCTATTACAATCTACTGCGGATTGTTACTTTTCAGTTATGGTCGACTGAATATCACTGATAAGGATTTATAAACTGCAAAGAGTCAGGATCTGTCTTTAATATTCTGTGTAGGTTTGTAAGAATGGTTAAAATTTTAACTGAGAAACTCCATTCTGAATTAATGAACTAGCAAATAAAATCTAATAGTATTTTTATTACATGACTTCTAAAGTAGATCTGCCATCATCTAGTTTTAGCAATTATTTTAGTATTTCAAAGCTCACAGACATGTACATTACATATATAATCTCAATACACAGAAAACCATAACCTTCTTTTCTTTCAACACTTTTGCGGTTTAAATGAGTAGCCAATAGCATTTGCAACTAGAGAATTTCATCCTCACTCTTTTGGTGTTTACACAAACACACACTGCAGGACTTAACTGGGTATCATGAAAGGAAATACAGAATGCCCTGATAAGCAATAAAAATGGGGTGCAAAATAATTTTCTCAAATTCCTAGAGCTACATTTTTCTCTAAGAAATGTCACAATTGACTATATGACAACGCTCCTCTTGAAGGTAACATTCAAGGAAAACGTTTTTGTCATCTCAGGCCAATGTTGCAGCAACAGGTACAGACAGAAGGGTTTGAGGCCACGGCTAGGAAGGGGCTCAGCAAACTGTTCCGAGAGCTCTAGTGCAGGGCAACCTGCAGAGGGTTGCTGAGCTGGAAGCTCTATGTCAGCTCAGCACAGCATGAGGCCTTCACAGCTGGGGACCACAGCAATGACATTGCCCAAAAACCCAAAGAAAGTCATATCGTAAGTTTTGAACTTTCCTACGGCCTAAGCACTATTCATTTTGATCTGGATTTAACAGAAAACAGTCATTTGCCTAACTTTGGAATAGCCCTTCACTGCATACAATGATAACAGCATTTTCTTCCGAAGGAGACTACAAAAAGTGTTACCCATAAGCTCCATTACTGATCAGTTTAATATTTTCAAATTCTTCCTCAGACGGAGTTTTCTTTGACTGCACAGAGGCGCCACGGCTCTGGGGAAGGAAAACAAAACACAAACATAAATCAGGGGGCAGGAATGGCTTCATACTCCTCACAACTTTTCTGTTCTTTTTTTTTAAGCAGAATTCATCCAAACACAAGTCAATCCTAAATCTCTGGAGTGCTTAGTTTTAGGATAAAGACCTGTATCCTAAGGAACCTTGCAGATTCCCGTCACAAATATTAACATAATAAATCAATGGACTATAAAATTCAGGCTTTCCTCAACAGTGTATTTTTTAAATAGCAATTAACTAAAAATACTAAGGACATTTGAAACCTGGTGAGTTCTATGACAAAATTTTTCCAACAGCCCATTGCTAAAGTCATCTTCCCTCAAATCCCAAAATGTTTCACAGATGCTATATAAAGACGCTTTTTTAACTGGAATTAATTGAAATTATTTTTGTTTGCAACTTCAAAGAAACATCAACAAAACTTAATGATAATGACTGTTTGTATCTTTAAAGTATTTCAGCTCCACAGTATAGTCCAGGTGAAGAGTGTGTGCTTCAGCTTTAACATGTACTTTATATGTCATCTCTTTTTCAATTAAAATTACTCTGCATTATAATTAATTCTTTACTGTAGACTACTCCTTTTCAGAGGGAAAAAAAGTGCTAGACAGTGTGCATGTATTACTGCTTTACCTCAACTGAATCATCTGTCTCAGGAGTGTCTGGGCTGTCATAGCTATTCAGCTGGGCCATTTCTGAAAAGAAAGCAGAAAGATTACTCCTAATAATCTCAATCAAACTGTTCTCTTCATTTATACATGACAAACAGTATTTTAAGAAGTGCTTGTAGATTATGAAATGCATTTTTCTCCTCTGTAAAAAGTCACTCCAATTATACAGTGATAACCTTTCACATCTTGTGAGCTGCAGGCAATATTTTATATAGAAAGGAACATAATTAACGGGCCTCTTCTCAGCATGAATTATTCTACATGGTTTCTTTAATAAGTAAAAGCAATAAATGCAAGTTTGGAGAACCTGCCAGATATCTAATGGCAAAGCCTATTCCATGCATCCAGGTCAGTATACAGCCTGGGAGCTCCCATGTACCTTAGAAAAGAAAAAAGCATCACATTTCAAATAACTCTCTCCACGAAATGTGTGCAGTTCTGCAAAATGCAGAGCAGCAAACTGTGCGAAAGACCATTAGTTTAGGCTACTCAGCTGTCTTAGGAGATACAATAAACTTTGCAGAACCAAATCCTACATTAACCACTAGTCTCTGAACAGACATCATTGACATTTCTGGGTGCCCTCCTTACAGAAAGGAAATAAGGCACCTTGACATCTCCACACATTTCTAAAGAAATTTGACTTTGGTATGGGGAATTAGTGATAGAAAGGTTCTCTCCCATGACAGGGATCAAAGGAAATTTCCCTTTAATGTCAGATTTCAACAAATGCTATTAAATTGCATTTAGCAATCTTCTGTAGAAATTTTCCTGAAGAGCTCTTTACTTGAAGTCAACCTGTCACTGTCATTCTAGTAAACACTGCAAAAGTTAAACTAGTCCTATCCAGACTACTAATTTATGGTAAATTATGCTCTCCTGAGAAAACAAAAAGTACAGATCAACTGCTGAAATATTCCACAGTCACCTCCAGTCTCTTCTGCGCTTCCTATTGCCGCTGATCGAGCCCTGCCTGGGGCCAGTTTGTGCTCAAAAAACTTGTCAGAGGGGAAGGGAATCAGCGAGCAAAATGCAAGGAGAACTATTAATTCACAACTCCCAAAGTTAAGATCTTCTGGGACTCTGAACATCTACAGCAAATTCATTTTACCATATGCAATGCTGGGACTTAGCAGAAAAGCTGTCAGCTTTTTCTAAGACATTACTTGTACAGTGCCTGGAAAAGCACTGTCATTTAACAGACCTTTTCTAAATCCAAAGTAATGGTTAGAAGGTAAATTTTTATGACCTCTCTTTAAAAAGTATCAAATACTTAAATGTAATACCCAACATGTCTAAAAACTGTAAAACTTAAAATAAGATACCATCAGCAAAAAAGTAGCATTGCTCTGAACAATTCACATTTAAGTTTGTTATGATAAATTGTTTGGTTAAATTATCTTTTGGTACTAGAAATACAAGCTTTTGTATCCAAGGGAACTCCTAATTGACTTCATGAACACAGTGTGTCCACTCTAGAAAACCATTGCTGTATGTGTTTGCACAGTCCGTTGCAAGTCACAACAAATGCACTTTTCCCAGAAAGAACAAAGTGGGATGACTGAAGCCTTTCCAATCAGTGCAGGACAGACTGCAGCAGGCAGGCAGTGGCTGATGAGAAATATAACAGACATATTTAGCTTTACCCTCCAGCATTACAGAAAAATAGTTGTAAAGTCATTTATTAAGAATTTCTCAGCTATAGTATAGGGAGACATTACTAATCCCCCAAATAAAGAATTGTAACTGCTAATGCTAGCAGCCCTCCTTTGAGACACACAGTCATAAAAGATGGTTTAGAACTGGTCAGCAAACAGGAAAATAAGATGGGGAGAGGAAGGTGAGAAGGTGAGAGAGAGGCAGCAAAACCAATATGATACAATGAAAGCCCCTTTTGGCTATGTAATGACCAGGGGTTAGTATCTGGAGAACTGATTATCCCTTCAGTAGTTTGGAGAGCATAAAAACAAGAGTTCTCACCCTCCAGGGGATCCCTGGTAAGGCCCAGCTGGCTGATAATGTAGCGAGGAATGTCGCATTTAATTCCTTGCCCTTCCTTGGCATGGCCTTCTGCAGCTTCCAACAAGTGGTAAAACTCTTCAGGATCAAACTCCTAGAGCCACGACAGGGAGAGAGGCAGAGAGATGCAAATGACTCGGTCCCACAGTTACTAAAGGATCCTCTCCCATAGCAGTGAGAAAGAGCATGGATTGAGTCACCTGGATTCCTCAGAAAGATCCTGTGTCAGTTGTGGACTCCGCAGAGGGGCAAAACATTTGCAGTCACAAAAAGCAAGTCAATGTATTACATCTGCTGATGTATTTTTCATCAGTGTTTTCATCATAATTTAAGCATTCCCTCAAGGCTATACGTTCCTTATCTCCCCAAACACATATCACATCACGCCCTGTAGGTCACACTCACGCTCTCCCAAAGACCAAACTTACCAGGCACTCGAGCAGCCGAGCCGGCCGCGCGATGACAATCATCAGCTTTCTCACAAGCTGGGTAACGAAAGCGACCTCGGAGCTCTCGGATCGCTCGTGGGCCTGTGGAGAGCAACACAGCAGGTTTTGGGCCTGGACAGGGAACCCCTCCTTCCTACACATCAAATGTTGAACGCGGAGCAATCGCCCCCTCAGTGACCGTAAGGCAGCAGCAAAGGCCTCACGGAGGCCAGCCCAGCGAGGAGCTCAGCTCGCTCGAGGATGCCAAGGTGCACACAGCTTTTCCATTGCAACCGACTGCCTTTATCAAGCAAGACATCCCCAAGGCTCTGTTGGCATCATGGTGCTTATCAGCTTTATTAGATCTTTTTGAAATTTTAATTTAAAAGATTAAAATAGGAAGGTTGTTTTCTTTAAATTCAACAATCCTGTGACGCATGACAAATTCCCATGAACATTCCCTGAAATCTAGACAGTTACCAACATCTCCACATGTTTTGTAGCTTTACTTTTAGGTAGAACATGAACAATTTATGTTCAATATCTTGAAAAAACTAGCCTTTAATTTCTCTCCATTTCATTCCATAAATCCTGCCAAGCACCTACTGCATTGTGCTATATGCTGTGTTCTACCAAACACACAAGCAACCCGTAGTATAGCAAAGCCTAATTCAGAGAATTTATTCTTGCCCATTTCTATTCTTTCACATTACTGGATTTCAGTATTAACTCAAGGCTTAGTTTCAAGGTGTACTTGGGGTTGGGGAAGAGGTCTTTCGAGTACAATAAATACATTAAAAACTACAAATGTAAAAATGCAAATGTGAAAAACTAAAAAGAAAAAGCTGCTTTTTTTCTTTTTTTTTTTTCCTCAAAGACAGAACATATACAGCATGAGTCCTACAGCACAAGTATTTCATTGCAGGCTAATACAAGATGGTTTCAGTGACATGAAAAACTGAAACAAACTACAGTCAATTTTCAGAACAATCTAAAAATGAGGCTTTTGCACTGCCAGACATGTAAAGTCCTAAAAGAGCTCGCTGACAAGCTTTCCAGTTCCTTGCAGGAATGATAATTTAACCAAGAAGAAGGGAAGCAGTAGGAAACAAAAAAGATAATTTAGCACTGTTCATTAGCAACAAAAACACATATATGTCTGTGAAGTCGAAACCCTGATAGTCACCTCAATGAGCAGTAAAAACACAAGGAAGCACAAATCCTGAGCTACAAAAACATAGGCAGCATTTTTAAAATTACATCCCTGATTTTTAACTAAAAAAGAGGAAAAAAAAGTTAATTATTTCTCATTCTAACATAGGTCCGAATAAGAATTTATTAGTTGTGCAATTCAGCATTAATAAACTACAGCCAGATTTTACCCTTTAAGAAAACTGTATAACTGCTATTCTAGAAACAACATCAGAGTTGCTTCCTAGTCATATAAAATATTTTATTTAGAAAGCATTGAAATAACCTGCTGAGATTTTTGGCTAAGCAAAAGATATTTTCTAATTAGAAACAAACAAACAAACAAACAAAAAACCCAGAAGATTAAGATTAGCATTCACTGCCAATGAATTACTCAAGCTTATGAGTTTAAAAAAAAAAAGGAATTAATGATTCTGTATTTGAATCACCATCCTAGATCACCAGAGGTTAGGTGAGCTGGAATGAATAAATTACATATTAACATTCAAATATGAGCCACACAATTGAAAAGCCCTTTTTCACTCCCCTAGATAAGTTACATTATGCAAAAAAATACTAATTCATCTTTCCGTTTCTAAGTGTCAAAGGCTCCTTATTCTTTTAAAACAAATCCTTTTCTTTTCTCCCCTTCCCCTTTAGGCAAACCAATGCAAAACTGGCACAGATTTAATCAGGTGAAAAAACGCGAAGCTACCCTGACTGCAAAACGATAAAGAAAAGCAAAAGGCGTGGGGCCAAAAGAATAAATGAAGCAGAGGGTTGGGAAAAGCGAACACAACTTGTAAGAGCCACTCAGCCATGATGTCCGCGCAGCGCTGCAGCCCCAGGAGCCCGAGCAGGGCAGCCTCGTCCCGCCGCCCTCTCTCGCAGGACAGCCCGGACATCTCTGCTGGCGGATCCCGAAATCCCGGGTGACGGAGCCGCGTTGGTCCCAGGAGCCGCTGCCGGGATGAGACGCCCAGGACGGGGTGCCGGGCCCGGCTGGGGCCGCCTCTGCTGCCAGAGCCCTGGGCCGCCCTTCCCGGCCCTCGGCGGCCGCCCAGGTAGACGGCGGGCAGAGGAGGGTGATTTAGCAGCCGAGTCCCCCGCGTGAAAGCCCCATCCGTCACCACGGGTGGCTACTGGGGCATGAAATTAAAATCACCGTCCTCCCCTGGGCTTCGGCGGGGCCGCGCACGGGGCTGTGCAAGTCAGAGCGCTGCAAGTGAGCTAATATAGCGATGGAAACCAAAACACGGCAAGCACGAGGCCAAGCTCCAATAAATTTACACTCAGGCTCTTGTTAGGAAAGCAATTGCAATCAGAATATCAATTTTCCGAGGTGCGGGAGCAGTCAGCACAGTGTGATACCGTCACCTTCTCCTTTCCCTTTTGTTCTATGCACAGAAACACCTGTAATCCTTCACTCCCCTACCTGCAGAGAGCCTGCATCGATGCCATTACATCTTTTTTAACTAGGTATTACTTGGCTTTGTCTTCCACTTAATTCAGCCAAATACTCATAAGAATTCAGTAAATTCAACCAAGTAAATATCAGACGAGACAAGCTCATGTTGTCAGGAATCTTAGCTCCCATCCCATCCCCTCGCCTTTCCCCCACAGTAAAATATAAAGAATCAACTGTCATATATTCCTCATATATTCCTTATAGAAGTACTTTATCTTATTTTTCAATGTTTGTACTTTATATGTAAAGTGTAACATTCAGGTCCATATTTTTCAAAACGAATAAAATCTATTAAATTCATTTGTGCTTCAGGATCATTTAGATGATGCAATAAGCAATAGGTTTTTCTGGCTAAAAGACAATATTTCACACTCACAAGCAAGAGAAATGATCTCATTTGCCATAACTAATGAGGTTTTTTGGTATTTAAAAACTTTGAAAAGCTTTCTGGTCGGGCATATTTAAACAGTTCATTATTTACATAACCAATTACTCCGTTTTATGGAGACATTTTCACAACATAAAGTAGCTTTAATTTGCAACACATTAATTTGAGCTTTCTCTCTATGGTTTGAAATGACTGTACGAGTGTAGCTTGTTACCAAATGCTAGAATGAACTTATTAAAGAAAGGAATTTCAATAGAGTCAGTTCTTACAGAGGAAAATTATATGAATATCTGCATAGACTTCCCTTCCTGGCTGCTGTGCTGCCAGTCATCTCCTTTTTCACCAGAAAATCACCTGCCCAATCCTTCTATATCTTATAAAAAAAACTTCCTGTGATTGAGGTTAGTTCCCCAGAAGAGGCATCATTGCCTATTTCTACCTGCTTAATATGAAATGCTCCATTGTTTTCTTTTAAAATACAGCATAAAAGGGAAACACAATTGGCAAGCAGGGAAAAAAAAAAAAAGAGTCTTTAAATGTTACAATAGAAAAGACAAAGAACTAGGACAGGAAAAACAAATGAGAAAGATGTGGAAAGAAGTCTTTGGCATTCCTACATTGTCTTTAATTCTTTTGTCCTCATCTCTCCCACCCTGTTCTACCTCCTCTATAGCTGTCTTTAGTTCACTTTACTTTCTGGAGAAAAACCACTTAAAATTAAGGATCGTCCCCACTCCCACCCCAACCCTGCAGGAGGTGCTAAGGAGGAGGGAGCAAGGCAGCATTCCCTCCTGAATGTAAATTAACTGAGCAAGCATAGGGATAACCACTGCATCTAATCTAGATGATATAACCCTTTGATGAACCCTGATATAACCCTTTGATGAAGCTCAAAGTCATCTTTCCCCTGATAAGTATAATGACTGCAGGAGGAAAGAGAAAACGACATCTAAACATATATATATATATTTTTTTTTAAGGTAAAGGTCAAAGAAAAGAAAATAGTGCTTTGTTTTGTCTTTCTTGTTTTTCATCAAAACATACGCTCTGTTTTTTAAGCTCTGCTACTTTTTTGGCCATCCAAAACTCTGCACACTATTGAAATGCACCCACAGTGGTTACTGGTATGTCAATGGCAGACAACCATAAAAGCCCTCCAAAGATATTCCTTACCTCATTACAGTCCTCATCCAAGGAGAACATGACAAAAATAAACGAGTCATTTTTCTCTAATGCATAAAAAGTATCAAAAAATGTACATCATATTCATACAGAGTAGAGTTTAAGATTTTAGCTGACACAAGGGAATGTTTTTGCAAAACTTTTAAGTATAAAAATAATATATTAATATTATACTCACTTGCCATTTTCTCAAGGCTGGATGGAATGGCAAAGGTACAAACTAGTGCAGTTCACATCAGCTGATTGACAAACCAAGGGATGATGCATAAACACATAGCTTAAAATAGATTGAAAACCACCAAGGAGCATTTCAGGTGCTCTATTTCTAAGTCTCTCACTGATATTTGTGATCTGAGACCATACTCTTTAGAAACACTGTATTTTGAGCTTCAGGCAAAGCCAAGGATTAGGAGATGTACCTAAATGGAGGCCGGGATCCAGCAACAAGCAGGACTCTCCACTGATTCTTCACAACAGCTACAACATATTCCAGACCCCTGGATCCTATTTTCAGTTAAAATGGTTTCTCAAACTGCACTGACTTACTGCACAGTATAGCAGGCATTAAGGAATACTAAATTCTAAGGCATTTTTTGAATTTAATATTATTTTTGCTTTAGAGGCAAAGAGTGATTTTTAATGAGCAGTTGAAGCATTGAAGATGCATTAAAGTTGTGCCCTCTTGTGTATTTTCATATGCTTTGAACACCACAAAACACATCCAAGTACTAAAAAAACCTACAACTGAATTAAGTTCAGCTCAAGAAAATCTTTTATGAAAAATTTATAGCAACACTACAAACCATGGTGTTTTCACTCCTTGAAGGCACTATTGTAATTAATAAGTCATTCAGAGTCTTGAAGCACATGAAAGAAATTTCAGTATTTCCTTCATCTGAATGAGCCCAATTTTCCTAAGTGGTAAAGACTGCCTTTGAGTTCCTTATCTGCATATTCCACTTTTGTACAAACAAAATACACAGGTGATGTGACTTGCTCAAATCTGTAGGATGCTGCTTCCAACAGCAGACAGGAAGAACTCAGGTCTCTTGACACCACCACCCACCGCCCTTCCCATGGAGTCTGTGCCGCCTCTCCTAAAATCAAAGCTCTGGCTTATTGTTTAGAATTTCAATCAAAATAATATATTCTGCTTTCTAGGGAGCACTTACATCCTGGAGAAGTTTCTCCAAGTTTTCCTGCAGCTCATAAAAGTACCGAGATGTAATAAGACCTTCACGTGATTTATCTAGGCAGTCTCTGGCCAGTTCAATAACCTGGTGATGAATGAAACTTAGGACTCCATCTGCTAATTGCAACACGTTCTCAGGAGCATTAGAGGCAATGAACTCAGCCAGTCGTTCCTCCATCTGTGCCGTGGCCTAAGAGGAAGGAATAAACAGGTTACTTCTAGGTATTACTGTCACAGAAATTAATTGGTAAAACACATAGGAATGGCAGGTACTCCGGCCTCCAGGATACACACTCTTCTCACACTCATTTCAGTGGAATGTTAATCTTCAAAGTCTGAGTCTACAGATTTCAATAATCAACTTTTCAAAAATCTATTCCCATTGGAAATCACTTCAGCACTGCAATCGTTTACTTTTCTGAAAACCTAAATCTATCTTCATTGTTTCCGTGGTGCCAAAAGCCCCAGAGGCAAATCCGGCTTTTACCAAAAGCCTCCAGCATAATTTGGAATGACTTTAAAAGAGAACGTTGTGTTTCCAATATGAAAATGAAAAGTCTACCAAAACCAAGGAAATTTGGATCTGTATAAAGCAAACTTAATGCAATTATACATGGAACATTGGGTGGATGTTATTCAACATATTTTTAAATTACTATTTTAAATAGCTTTGCAAAGTATACATGAAGCTTAGCTTTTAAAAGTTTATGTAAAACTAAGCAAATTGTCCTTTTTCCAATCTTCATCTGCTTCTAAATTTGAAGCAAAAATCAAGGACTATTGCAGAATATATGGCGACCCCCTCAAACAGTAACATTTATACTGAGCAGCCAGAGCGTGGCACTTATCCTCCATTCTACACACATTCGGCATACCAATCAGAGACACAAGATATTTAATAAATATAAAATAATCAGCAAAAATACACTAAGCTTTTCACATACTTCTATCTGAGACTCTCTACACATTCAATCTATTTTTTCAGACTGCAAATTAACATATGAAGCAGAGAGGACAGCTTTAAACTCCCAGTAAACTGCATTGCTTGGAAATAGGAGGTAAGATATGGAATCCTTCCCTAATAGATATTACAAATTAGCTCTGAGTTTAGTCATGAGTTCATCTACTGCACTATGAAAAAAGTGATTCCTTACCTTTGGAAACCTTTCTTTGTACACATGATTCATCATTATTATTTCACTGTCAAAGGAAATCGGGGAGCGACCCGGGCTAGAGAAGAAAAGAAAATACATTATCATTTGATAGCTGTCATAGCAAAACGCTCAGAAATCCTGTGCTGGTCATAATGCTGCCAAATTGATCGTAGCCCTTCCAAGGCTTCATTTAAGTAATGGTATATTCTGAACTTCAGAGAAAATCCTAGCAAGAAAAGGCAATTTATACCCTTCCAAAAGTCACAGTTAACTCACCGGCAAACTGTTAACATTGCTGTCTTCTTCTGAATTCAGGCAAAGAATACACCTCCTTTCAGTGAATGCAAAACCTACCCTACCTACATGTTAGAAATATCACATTTGTTATGTTATTTTGCATGTGTTCTCTTACTGCCCTCCACAGTGGCGGCAGGAGATGTGCGCAGGAAATACAGTATCACTGGAGTGCACAGGGCCAGAAAGGAGCACAATAAAATGAAATAAGGAATTGGAGGTGCCTTGCTTTTCTTGGTCTGAAAAACAGTATGCTACAGTAGGTATTCACTTTATGAGTAGTTTTATTCAGCTAAAAATAACATGCATAAGCACCACAAGCAACAGGGACAGAATATTTCCCTGGATTACACCATGGACGCACATGCAGAGATGCATGCTGAAAAATAGGGCACTAAATCCTGAAATCTGGAAAAGCTGCATTTATGTTGCTGTCTGGGTAACGTTAAGAGACGACTTGCATCTAATTGCATCACATGTGATGGCACGAGATGCCCTGACTCACTCCGACACAGAGGACGGTCTGAGCGGTGCAGTGCAGAAAATCCCTAGTGATGCCATCGCTTACAGCATCTCTATTTTATGGTTATATTGTTTTAATTTTCAGGACAAGCAAGGGTTCCTGTTATATGGCATAAGGATTATTGTCTTTACAATTTTAAGAGTATTATATATTGCTAAAAATATTTTTACTTCAAAATACGTAATTTTACCTTGAGTCAGTTCAGATATATCTGAAAACTTTCTTGCAAAGGATGAAATGAATCTCTTTGAACAGAATAAATAACATTTTAAACTCTGAGTGCATTAAAGCTACTACGTGCTTCTAACCTATTGAAAGAAAAAAATATGCTTTGAAGAACATATATTTACAGTTCAGAGAAAATTTAGCTCACTGGCTCACAGAAGACAGCAATAGCCATCTCTTTTCATGCAAGGTGCTGGAATTCCATGGATAATGCTCTGTCCTGTTTTTATTACGGTTTATTCCTCATCTTGAGAAAATGCACTTTAGACTTTGTCTTTTATTGAATTCTTATGTTAAAGGAGAAAATAAGCTGATTTTGATGTTCAGCAGTTATTCATACTATGCCAAAACACAATTGCATTAATAGTTTTTTTAGTTGTTAGGAGAATTCACTATTAACTGGGTGAATAGCTATTTTTAAGTAAAGAAAATTTTCCTAATAAAGAAACTTACATTTATATTCATATATAATGTATGAGAGAATAAAACAAGGCCAAGAACATTTAAATATGAAGAGCTACAGATGCTATGACAGTTATAGAAAATTAAATATCCCATTCTTTTTCTTTAAAAACACACACACTGACACAGACACATGGCATTTGTATTCTGATCATTCTGATGGCTGAAGAATTTGGTAGAGAATTATTAAGAACTTATTTTTCCTTAACAAAACTATTTTCTTAAATGACTTAAGTGATGTATAAATCACAAGGATATATGAACCCTTTGGTACCAGCTCCAGAAATATGCATCCTTCCTTTTAAAACTGAAGTGGCCCTAAAATTACTGCATGCTTAAGCATTTGCTGCCTTAGGGCTGTAATAAAACATGAGCTTTCCCCTTGCTGCAAGGTCCTGTATTCAAGGGACTGCAGGAAGCTCTGAGCCCTGCAGAAATGGGCTGCTTGGGCTGTCCTGCCAGTACAGCCCCTGGTTCCCTAAGAGCATCCACAGGCTTTTCTTTTTCATATTCTGAAACAATGTAAATCTTATTTCTTTGTAGAAAAACAAAACAAAACAAAACAAAAAAACACCTTCAGCTTTCTTGAGCACTGGCTGTTCTTTTAATTACCTATAATGACAGAGCATTTGAGTAACTTGGTAAGACCTGGGATCAAGGACCATATTGTCATTCTAAATAAAATTCTCCCAGGATAACATGTGGAATTAAAAATCCAGCTGACTGCAGCAAGACTGCAACATAATACAGTGCACTGTAATCTTTTATGTTAAGCCTAAGTCTGGGAAACTATAGAAGAAATTATATGAATAACTCACTAACTCAAAGGCTACCTGCCAGACACTCCTGGTTATTTTATAGCATCTTTGGGGAAAAAAAAAAAAAAAAAGCCAGGACTGGGTAGAAAACTGGATGCCACTTAAGGACAGTGTAAGGGAGTTTAAAAATAAGGAGAAAAAAAAAGTGTTCATTCAATGTATTTTATTGGCACAACAGCTTTTTGAAATGCAAAAGCTTTACACATCTGTATGGCACAAATAATTTCACACACAGTGCTAAAACAGCCTAACATTTCAAGCTTCACAAAGGAAAGCATTTTTTTGTAAGACAGGATACATCCTGTGCACGTGCATAACATTTCAAGGCAAAAAGCAGGTTCCTACTGTCTCTTTTCTCAGTATAGATGGGCAGGTCAAAGACAAGATTATTGGCAGCGAAGGTTTTCATTTCAGCAGAGCAGACATTAGAAGAATAGTATCTGTCCCCTTAAGCTTAACAGCAGAATGAAAAACTACTCTCTTCCTCTTCCTCACCCTCCCTACACTTCATGAAATTATGCAGTATCAGACCTTCCGTGACATATTTCTCTCTCAAAGGTTTCTAGATTTCAACTTGTCAAAACTCATGTATCTTTATCTGAGCCTATAAAGTGAAAAAAGCTAATAGACAGCTCTGTTTCAAGCAGTAACATTTACATTAATAAATTAAATCCTACAAAACTTAGTTTAACTGTGACTAAATAAAACTGGGATGTTCATGAATACTTAATTTTTCTTTCACTGTAGCAATTGCATTTATTAAAAAATGTAGCTAAAAACCCTCTTTCTCCTCTCTTGTTTACCCTCTCTCAGGAAGGTTTCATGAGCATGTATGTACAACATCTTTGAAAAGTTGTTGTCCACAGGAAAATTTAAACTACAGGCCTTTATCTGTAGTCATTTCAAAGGAGTTTTCACACTCTTCCTTTTCTCCTGAAAATTAAAAAAAAAATGTATCGAAGCTAGTAAAAAATAATAAGAAAACTCCCCTTGGAAAAATGAAAGATAAAGTAGAAGCAAATAAGGCCAACCCACATTTGTTGATTAAACTACAGAGCAGACCCACAGGATTCAATCCTGCACCAAGACAAGAGCAATTAGGCCTTGGGGTCTAATCCTCGTTAGGATTAGACAAGACAACAACGAAACGAGAACTGAGCTGAGTTCTAAATTCTGAATGCAAACAATATGCACGGTGCTAGTGAAATATTGTTCCCCTGTAAGACTTTTTTTTGGACCCTGATTTCTCATTGAGCACCTGGAAAAGTCAATTTTGAGTCTGCAACAGTGTCAATCTGCTTATGTATGTTGTGATCTTGTGTTCATTCTGCAAACACTGACCCTCTGAGTAACTTTACTCTGTGGACAAACACTGGCTGCAATTGGCTTTGTATAGCTGAATTTTCTTCCATAAGCCTTTCTTTATACTAGGAATGATGTTCTTACAAATGTGGATGAGGATTTAATGTATAGCTCAGAAAATGTTCCGGAAAAGACAATGTACTTCAATCAAAATTGCTTTGAAAACAAACTGAAAATTATCAAATTTAGAAATAATCATTTTGAAGAATCCTTCTTTTAAATCAAGTTCACAAAATTTGCAGTTTTGAGAGAACAAAGAGACCGACACCATCTCCAAAATAGTCAGAATATATGTTTGGAAGACAGGCCCTGCTTCAGGATGCAGAGCCGCGGCCCCTCTCTGCTGACTCGGTAGCTGCCTGAGTCAGCACTCGCCGGAGCGCAGGATGCTCCTCCACGGCCTGTGGCAAACACAGCGATGTCTGGAGGCAGGGGGTATTAAATGATGAAAAAAAGAACATTATTTGAGCAATTAAATCTGAAGCTTAAATGCACTAAGGTGAAAAGGCTCTACAACTTGTGGGACCAAATTTTAAGACAAAAGTGGACTAAATGAGCCACTGCAGAGTGTGATCCTATTCGTTGTTCTCACCTTATATACTTGACTGTGAAAAGCTTTTTTTTGGCACTGGTATTCTCTAGGAATTGCCTCTGTATATTCTTAATGGCAAGAATTAGCACATCTAAAGTCAGGTTGCTGAATTGCATTTAACAAGCACTACCCAGCAAAGAGATGAAGTGGCACATCTGATTAAGGAAGATCTCATCCACTTCAACTATATAAAAATTCACTGCTACAATCTCCCATCTATTTTCCCTGGACATTATCCCAATACGCACAGAGAGATCAAGAAAAATGGACAGTTTGGTGGGTAGAGCAAGTGTATAAAGGTAACACTTGATGAAGTCTTTATTAGTTAATCCTGCTTTTATCTCAGAGGTCCCTCACACATTCCCACTTGTTAGCAACTCCTAAGGATGACAAGCAAAGGGAACTGGGACAGGAAGGAGGGCAGCACTGCTCTAACCAGCTGAGCAAAGATGCCAACATTCATGAGAGAATTTACTCTCTTTGTGCATCTTATTCCTGGAAGAAAGGATGATTTCCAAGTAAACCCCTGGACTGTTCTGAAAAAAAATAGAACTAGAGTATGGGCTTCTCCCTTTAGTTAATGATTTGAACATCATGTTGCAAAAAGAGCAAGTGGTTGAGATATGGTACGTAGGAACTCTCCCTCCAAATAAACAAATTTGCTCTTCTACTGAAGATGCACTGCAGGAATGAAAACAGATCTGATGGGGTGGATCATGGAAGGTAAGGTCTCTGTTTAACAGGGGAAAATGGTGCTTTTGGAGATGGATAAAAGGACAGTCTCCTGGCACCAGCAACCAGCTTCATAAACCCATCACAGTTTTGGATTCCGGAATTGGTATCGGGCCACCTCCTTTTCCCTGGCACAGGAAAGCAGCTGGAAAGGAATCATTACCATGGTGTAGCAAAAGCTACTTTACAAGGTTACTTTACAAATGTGCTCTTCTGCTTCCTCATCCCTTTGCATTTATGGGAGATCAGCAAGGGGCAAAATCTTGTGGAGAAAAAAAAAAAGGAACGTGGCTTTCCTGTGTTCACTTTCTGTACCTTGCTGTGTCTACCACAAGAACTGTCAGGGAAAGACATAAAATATAACTTTTCTATCCACAAAACAAGGTCGTGAATTTTCAGATTTCAATCTCTCCACAGCCTCAGCTTTTGCACCACAGAGAGGACACAGACCCTCGGCGGAGACCTCTCCTGCCTTGTCTGATAAGTGAAGTGGGGAGCATCTTCAGCCCCACTGGCCAAACCCCTCCAGCAACAGAGGTGGCCCAAACACTTCAGAGTGTATCAGCCAGTGCTCTGTTCTCCATGACTAAACACTTTGCTAATATTTTCATCCAACTTGATCACTTCTATATGAAGTTCTTTAATATTCACTTGCAGCCAGATTACTAGAAAATGGTAAGCTGCAACTCAGAGGGGTGGATTTTCCTATAAGTTCACATCCAGGCAACACTCTTCTCTATCTAGGAGCATAAAGGGATGATCTGATACTTCCCGTAAATTCTTAGGTTGCAGAAGCCCTCAAAACCCAGCAAAACTCAGCATGTGGCAGGGACATTTGAAAACACCAATTCTCCTTTCAGACAGAGCGAGCTGACATTGCAGTCAAAGAATGAAAAATGAATACAAGTTAGTAATCATGTAAATATCAGATCATCTTTTAAATTACAAAACCATGACTGCCAATTAAGGCAAACATGCCTGATGTATTTTGTTCATCAATTTTTCATTAAAGCTGGTTAAATATGGGACCATTAAATGTTTATGAAAATACTGCATTTTGGGGGGAATCCTGCTTAATTTGCAGCACAGCAACTGCTCAGATTTTTTTTTTTAATCTTAATTACGTAAAAACATCTTACCAAGGGAGCTAACTCAATTGTATCAGCAAAAAAATAAGCAAGCTGAGCAGTGAGTAAGGTCTGGTCTTCATATATTCCAATATTAAACTCTTTCTGAGTTTCTGAGGACATGTTATTCAGTCAAAGGGCATAATTACTTCTGCAAATATTAATAAATCAACCCAGCCAATTTTCCTTTTTGTGGTGCAAGGGCTAGTACAAATGCCTAGTAGTGGGGGGGGCCTGCTTTAGAGCCACTCACAGAACTCCAAGCAATAAGCAACATTCTATACAAAAATGAGCTAGTCATTTCACCCTAAGTTTTGGAATATAAAAAATGCTGTGAACAGTCACCCCAAAAGGGGAAGTAGAGACAGCATTCAGGAAAGAAACATCTCTCACAGTCATACAGCCTACTGAATTGATCTAGTCTGGCCAGAAATTACAAACCTGCTGCATGAAAACTCAGCTTTTGAAGTGGCTCACAGAGATAAAATTCTCAACAAGCTGATAATTCACGTTAATAGGAAAAAAAAAATAGAACTAAGACCTTCATTTTATTGTTTCCATCATTCTTACATTAGCAATTGTGTTTTATACTTCAGTATGCCAACAGTAACAGGTCTGTGTTAGAAAAGACAATAATTACGTTGTCTACCTACAGTAGCTGTCATCTATAATGAATTAGTATTACTAAAATTACACTAATCAGCAGTAGCCAGTGTTAAGAGCAACAGGACTGTAGCAAGACTTGAACAGCTCAGGTCAAATCATGTAACTAATCACCCACTACATGTCAATTTGTAAAGACTGCAGACTATGTGGGCTACTACCTATAGTACTTACCTGCTCCTGTAGAATACTGTGTAACTACACTTAGCAGATCCATATGCAATTACCATGCAACCTGCACTGTGGTTTAGAACACATAAATAATTACAAATAATGATGGAGGGTCAGCTCTGCTACGACAAAATGCCCACCATGCATTTCAGTGCTTAGCTTGAGCCTATTTCAAGTGGCTTCTATTAGAAATCCCAGGTCCTGAATCAGTATTTCCAGTTGGAAGAGTTTCTGGATCTTGTCCAGCGACTTAAACGTGATACCTTGCTCTAATACCCTCTCAGATGAGAGACATAAAGGAGATTTCACCTCCTTACCCCATGTATGTGAAAATTCCTTTTGTTTCATAAAATAGGAGGAATATTTCTCTAGACTTGCATTTTCTTGGCACAGCACTAAAAGCATAGGATAACTTAAGGTTTCAGTCATGACACAGAAAGGTCTGTTTATTTTGTTTCGTTTCCTTCAAATAACTAAGAGTTGCAGGGGCATGAAAGAAAGGTGAAGTTCTAGTTGCTTCCTGTTTTTATATGTAGAGAAGTAAGAGCACAAGGAAAGAACTCCTGATCTTTGGGCAACAAGCTTTCTAAAGCAACAATAAAAAGTATTCGACTGCTAATGCAGGAAGATTGTTTTCAGAGCTAGTACAAAATTCTTCTTGGATGTTCATGCAATTCTACTCAAGGTTTTGACTTCATCTACTCCAGTTTCCATATCCCTTCAGAGGCAGTTCTGGAAAAGTTATTAACAGTGACTGTAACTATTTCCTTTTATTAATGCAGCAAAATTCCCAGAAGAAACTTCAGGGAATCAAATCCACACCCTGTAGATTTAGTGTGTGATGCTTATGGATCATTGCATTACAGAGTTATGGTGAAGACATAAAAACAGGCTATGCATTTTGCAACTCAGATCCTCAATGTCACATTTTTTTAAAAACTCCTTTGCGATTACTTAAGGAGGAGTAAATATTGATTAAATAATAAAAAAAAATAAGGAAACAACTACAAATTACTATCCTTAGAACTGGAAGCACATATAAAAATGCAGTGCACACGTGCAGTACCTTGAAAAGGCAACCAACAGCTGCTGGAGCTCACCTGAGACTGCGAGATCGAGGCCGCAAGGCTGGCGAGTGGCGCCCCTCCTCATCCGTGATGCTCTCGGTACTGAAATGCTTTGTCAGGAAATGGAGCTCGTCTGCCGTGGGCTGAAAGGGCAGCTGGTGCAGCTTCTCCTGAGATGAGCATGATGACTGAGTACAGAAAAAAATACAGAAAAGAAATGCACTAAACGCATGCATAGGGGTCAGCTAATGAATGGAAGAGGAACGGGTTCTGCCAGACACTGCACACTCCAGCGGAAAAGAAAGCTACTTATCAGACCAGGTGCCTCTTTATGGCTGTCAGGAGGCCAAGCCAACCCTCACAGACAGCGGCAGAGCTGGTGAGATCGGGACAACTTTGGGAGCAGACGGAGGGACCGTCGCATCTCCTTCTGGAACCATTGCAGCCCATCACGAGGTGAGTTACTCTACAAGGAGATGGGAAGAGGCTGGTCGGCAGCGGCGCTGCTTGGACACGACAAGGAGCTTCCTGGAGTGGTGAGCAACTTTCTTTCCTTTTCCCTCATGCTCCCTCAGCTCAGGATTTCATTGGCATGCAGAATGCTATGGAGCTGGGTAGGCAGGAGGGTTACTGTGGTCATTGGCTCTCACTGGCAATTGCTACTGTAAATGCTCTGGATGTCACTTTTCCTTTCCTCTAGTCAGGCAGGCAAAAATAACACAAATGTAGCTGGCTTTGGAGAACTGGGGGCTAAACTGTTTCACCTGTTGAGCTGTTACAAGGAGTTTACAAAGAGTTACAAAGGTTTGTTCATCTTTAAGCAGGCTGCTGCGCTTACATGACATGTGTCCTGGGATAACAACAGACATTACACTGATTTAACACTTCAACCTCAAGAAAGCTGAGGTTAAAAAATGTTGTGTGGGAAGTGTGAAAAAGAATTTGGGTTACAAATAGAGTAGCGGGTCTTCACATGGAAAATTTGTAGGTCAACTAATGAAGGCAACTAATGAATTCTTGCTTTTTTTTTTTTTTAAATATCCTTTGCCATCTTACAAAATTAAGATGATTTATTACGTCAGCATAAATTAATAAACTTCTCTCTTTTTTTTAATTAAAAAAAGAAACAGCAGCACCAAACAACACCAGTGAGCCTGATGAAAACTGCAATTCTAATGTAAGTGCCAAAGCCCCCTATCAATCTGCTAAAATTAATTGCATATAAATTTCTAGTGGAAAAAAACTTTTCTTTTTGCTACAACAACCCTCATCCAAACCGGAAAGCAGGGAGTCCTAGTGCCAGAAGTAACAACACTAAGGAATTATGCATAATTCAAAATTGATGACCAAACTTTTCTTTTAGCTAGTGGCCATTTCTAGACTTCCTTGTTATTGGTGGCCCTTGAAAAAGAAAGCTAACAAGTAGGGCCAAGCAGGGAAAGCCAAATGCTGGCAAGATGTTCACTGAGCCCTGCATCTTTGTAGTGCTAATAGCAAAGAGAACATGGCTTGGAAACTGCTAAACTGGGTGTATCCAAATTTGTCAAGAGAATAACAGCTACACATTTGAACTACAAAGAAATAAGCAGGGCGTTGCAAATCCCAATACCTTACACAGACCCTTATCCCTAGAGAATCTCAGTCAAGGTGGAGATGGAGAATGGAACACAAGCACTTATAAGCCTATAGATCACATCCTTTGATAAAAATATAATTGTCTCCAGAGCTCAGATCCACTCCTTTTGCACTGTGCGGAGGTATTTTCGGAGAAGAGATCCCTTGAAAGTCTTAAAACACGCACAAAATCCTCACTCGTGGCTGCACAAGGAGCCATCACTTGCTGCATCTTCCTTCAGGCAGCTCTAGGTACAGGGATCATGTTGGAAAGTCGTCTCCAGCACAGAGTCCCCAGGGTGACCATTATCCAGATGGCAACTCAGCTGACACTGGTCTAATCCTCACTGTAGCCAAGACGGAGAACGTGAGGATCTGACGGTCGCTTAGCCCACAGCTATTCTGCTGTGCGCCCTGCTTATGCCAAAGGAATGAAAGCCTCCCTTTTTGTATTACATGTATTTGATCACCTGCCTTATACACCAGTGAGAGAGGGAAGAACCACCTGCTTACGCAGAAACAGCAGCACTTTCCAAGGGGAAGATGTGTTGGACGGCATCCCTGCCATGCTAAATGACAGGAACGCTGCCACAGACCAAGCAGCACTAAATACTGCASGGCTTTGTAGGACAATGTAAGAGCTACTCAAGTACTGGCATAACTAATACACCTCTTACTCAAAACCAAATTAAACTCAAGACATCACATTAAGAATAGTTGGCACATAGGAAGTTACTAATACCAAGTTAGAAGGAAAAAACTGACATTCTAGAAAAAGCCTCAAAACCCTTTTACCTTCCAATAGTAAAATCATTGGGGAAAGAACTAAGTATTAGCCAATTTATGGATGACCCACCAAACTCCTCCTTCAGCTTCTCTCCTTAGTAACAATCAGATCATAAAGTTAGTCAGGGAACAATTAAGGAGAGCCCTGATGATACAGACAGTGAGGAGAAATGGTCTTCCCCTGCCAAGGGCTCCTCTAGCTGCCTCAAGGCAGATAACCTTCCACTGAAGCAGCAGGAGAGCAAAGCACTTCTGCATTATTGATTTTTAAGTAATCACATCACAGAATTCAATCTTTGCAGTAGATTAATACAAGCATTCCCCTGGTGTCTTAATTACCAACACAGAATTAGCCAGCTCATCTCAAGCAAAAGCTAGCAATACAGCAGCAGAGTCTAGAAAGCTTTCCATCTAGAAAAGAAACAGCAAATTCAATGTTTAAAGATAATTGTATATTATTCTGTTAAACTAACTGTTCTCCATTTATCTAATTTGAACGGAGATATCCTCCAACTTTCTGTTGGTCAGATGAGATGCATGTGGTCTTCGTGATTTATACAGAAAGTGTCAGCAGATGTATTTTTAAAAATTGGTATCAGGGTCATCTCTCAGAAAAGAAAGACAAAATGGAAATTATACAGGTTTCCACTGACTTTAGAACAGGTAATTGTCTTGATTTGTTCAGCCTGGTTGAAATAATAGCTGATCTTTAAGCACAGAGATGGAGGTCAACTCCAACCCCAGCACAGGGATTCAGGCCAGCAGTGGTCATCATTATCTGGTATCATTCTTTTTGATATTTCACTTGAGCAGAAGGTCTGCTGGCTTTCTTGTGTCTTGCTCTAAAAATAAATGCAGAGGACCAAACACACCAAATTGAAGGCCCAATTTCCTCTAAGTTCTTATCTGTGGCATTAATTCTTTGTGTCCTTTTGACAAGTCCCTTTATGAATCATTTCAGTCTTAAAGTTTGCACAAGAATAATAACGCTTATCAATGCCAGAGGTGTTATTCGGATCAATTTAAATTGATTCTAATTTATGAAATGCTACAAAAATGTAAATGCCATAGAAAAGACTGGCTTAGAAAAGTTTAATGATTCCAAGAAATACTTCAGTACTTATTAATCGCACTTCTTTTCTGAGATGGTAAAGTTGGATGAGCAAACAGACAAGAGATGATACTCAGCCCCTTGAGAAAAAGTCTTGGAGATACAGGTTCCCATAGAACTATTTACTTTATGATGATGAATTCAGATGACTCATAATTTTGATCACATCATCCAGTTTGCTGCTGCTGACAACCATACAAAACTTGCACCGTTTGCACTGAAACTTTGTGGGATGTGCCTGTCTCAGAGCTGTGTTGTTTTTGGAAAAGTTTCAAAGTGATTTAGCTCTTTCTGGGAAAAACGGGAAGAAAAGGACATGCTTTCTTTCCTACCCCAGGAAAATTTGTTTAGAATATTTTTGTTGTTGTTCGTTTTGCTCTCTCTGTGGACATCTACCCGAAGTCCAGTCAAACTACAAACTCTTGGAAACCTACTCATTGCACAGGCTGTGGGAAGGCTTTCACACTGCTGGCAGTTTGGTTTCCAGCAGGATCCTCATCACAGAAATCATGGAATCTCTCACAGGGATCATCAGTGATCAGATGTGATAACAATTCAGATGTTATCCCTACATCAAGTAATCATACGTGCTCCTATAGCTTGTACACAGAAGATGACCTGGCCATGGTTTATGCCTGTAAGGATTAACTTAAGGCTATAAAGGCAAAAGCAGAGCTGATTTTAAATGGTTGCTCTCATGTACTTTAATATATAATACTGCCTGGCAGTAAAACTAAGAACTTCTCCATGTGGCTGATGAACTTCCCTCCACACTTCACACATACATTTCTCATAAAGGAGTCTAAAATCAAGTCACTTGGCTTCTCAAGAAGCCAAAAAGAAAAAAGAATAGGAAAAAAAAAAGAGAGAAAAAAAAACAGACTGCGGAATTCATGCAAACTATAGCCTCAAAAATGTGTCTGAACATATGAAACAAAACACAGATGATACAAAGACTGCACAATTAGGTTCTAATCATATCAACTCACACCTTAAAACAGTAAAAACTCAAATTGCTTATCCTCATATACATAAATTGAATTTTACTGTCTCATCTCCCAAAGAATATAAATTTTATTTGAGAAGCACTAGGAAGTTTATGGGTGAACTTAACAGAACAGCCCACAAGGATGAGAATGATTCTGCATTTCAGAGCAAGCATTGCAGAATATCAGTTCCTAATTAAATGTTGGTATTAGTTATTAAGAATGTACTCTAGTAAATATATAAAAACTCAGTAGAAGCACTGAAGAAAGAGGCACAGATATGGGGACCACACAATTAAAGACCATAACACCCACATAGAAGTGTGTTGAATTATACCTGCACTGGTATCCTTAATCCTAACCTTTCTATTCTTTGGATGCTTTGCTTTGCAACATTACTGAATGTTTCCATAACACAGTTATGTGGATAACCACAGTACGTAGTTCACATTAACTGAAAAATAAGATTAACTGTGTGAAGTTTCAAAGAGTTTTAAGGGTTAAAAGAGTGCTGCTGCCTTACAGATATTAATGACACCTTAGCCTTTTGGAAGTACACTAGAATGCAGGTAAACTGCAGCCAACCTTTAAAATCACATGTGCAAACTGAAAGCTTTGTTAGGAGGTTCAAATGACTGGAGTTAAGTAACAGATAGGTGTTATCAATTTTTCTTCCTGCTAGCAGAAGTCTTCACACCAACAACTTGAAGGCAGACCAGAATGTCAGTGCCCTCTTATATAAAAATCTGTGTTTGTTGGCAGCTATGTACTCTGTATCTGAGAGTCCTGTTATTTCTGACACATGGTGTCTCTCAACCGAGCAGTCGAGCCACGTGCTGCACTGGGATTTCTCCATGGCTAAAGGCAAAGTGCAAGATGGTAGGAGCTGGGAAATGGAGGAAAAAGCAGCACAACTGATAAGTAAAATAATTTTAAAAATAATTAGTATCTTAAAAAAATGTTAGCAAAACAATGAAGAAAGATCAGATATTTTAGTAAAGACTCAGAAGCTGATTTGTTAGGGTGTGTTTGTACAAACTGAATTGTTTGGAAAAGTCTGTGCCACTTACTGAAACGGTGGAACTGGGAGTGTTTGTTCCATATCCAGATGAAGGGAGAGAGGCCAAGGACCAGCGACGCCCATCCGTTCTGGGGAGAAGAAGCAGGAGAAATTAGTATTACGGCTAATATTTGGGGAAAAAAAAAGAAATTCTTCCACACAATCTTTAAATTAAATATCTCAAGGCAAACCAGTCATCCTATTTGCAATGACTTCTGTAAAGAAGTAGATGAGGCAAGTTTTTAAGAGCAAAATTACGTGACCTTGGAAAAAAACATCAAAGCAAATGGACATCAGATTCCTGCAACAAGTAGGTCGTTTGTATACAAAAAGGTAGGTGCTTTGCACAAAAAGATTGAAGTTGCAAGAACGAACAAATGTAATCAGTTTATTTTAGACTTCTTGCAAACAGTCATGCCTAGGATCATTACTTATACAGTTGCTTAACTTCCAAATAGTGTTTAAAAATGGAAGGGGGCGAAATCGTATCAGATCAAGAAGCAACTAAAAGGTAACACATTCTTTTTCCTGAGTCTAAAAGCCTTCTGCCTATAGCGATGCTGATAACAACGGGGAATTCAAGCTGCTATGGCAGTGCTGCACAGAGCCTATACGTCCTCCTGAAATACAGAAGAGATAGCAATTTCACCTCAGGTCTCTTTCACCTCCAATCATTATAATACTGGTAGTTATTTGCTATTATTAGCCAAGGAAAACTTTTTTCTTTCCTGGAGATAATAAACATATCAAAAGGACAAAATACAATCTCAGGGAAAATAGCCAAAACATGCAGCAGAGATTGCAGAAAAAGTGGGTGTGTTCTACCAAAGCCAAGGCAGATGAACTGTACAAGTGTTTTGAGGAGAATCAATATTTCCCTCCTTGAAATCCTCTTCTTCCTCCATCAAAAACATCTCAGGGAGGAAGGCAATTGAACTCACGTAGCACAGCCTTTTTCTGCCTCTGATTTCATTGGAGTCTCAACCACATTTTGTCCCAGTCACAGACCAGTGTATCTGGCTGGGTGCTGGGATGGATGTTAGTCTTTTTTTCCTATCAGCTTCCATTTGGTTGCTTGTTTTATTAAGGTAAATCATCAGTAAGGGGTCATAAAATGAAGCTAAACAGGAAGAGTTAGAACCTCTAAATTACTTCGCAAATACTTGTTTTTTTAATATATACTTATAAGAGATACAGTACATTTTTGTAATTGCATTAGGAAATAGGATGTTTGGTAGTTATTGGTGCAGGTCTAAACCAGTGTTTACAACACACACAACTTATTTTCACCGTAACATTTCTTACCCTGCTACCCACATGCCTAAATGCCTCATATCTTTAGGAGAACGTTCAACGCACATTCACACATAAGCACATGCTTGCATTTTTCTCCAGATCTAATTCCTTTTATTGTCAGGTACTGACACATGCTCCTCTTCTCTGCTACCTAATTTACATCAAAAGTGAAATAATCCCACTAATTTATATTACTAGGAGAATATTATATAAGAGAGTTTTTAAAAGTGGTTCATGCTACATTCATAAAAAAATATTCAAGCTGTGAAGTAGATTCTACCACATGCAGACTTTAGAGCTAAACCCCATTTAGCCACAGGTGATATTTTCTTTGGCAAGACAAACATATATAAAAGTGTGATCTCAAAAAAAAATCCTAAAGAGAACAAATTCCCTTCCTAAATCCCTAAAACCAGAGAGTGTCAACATGACCAAGTCTCTGCATCATGTGGTCCACGAATGAATACCAAGCATCAGCAACAGAGATCTCTGCTCACTTTCTGCATAAAATACTAGTACCTTGTAGCAGTTCTGGTACCAATACCACAACTTTACTTCCACTGCATGAAAACATGTTTGTATCTCTCAAAATAGTAGATGGGGATATAAAAAAATACTATTTTTTCTAAAAAAGGAAAATCTAACTCTTGTGAGTCATTAAATTGTGTATTGAAATTATTTCTGTATTTCGATAGTGATGATTAAAAAAAAAAAAAAAATCTTTCCCACATAGAAAATGACTTTTCCATCCTTAGACTATTTTCCACTGATGCAATCTGGGCAAGCAATGTGCTAAGCAGTGAAGGCAATGAATGTTAGCACTATATCCAGCACAGAGAAATGAGCTGAAATCTTTCAAAGCCAAGTCAGTGGTAGAAACATCTTAAAAAAAATCCTTCTCTTTCAGTTATGCTAAACATTTCAAAATTATTTCAGTGTTTGGTCAATAACAACATATTCTTAGAGAGATTTTATGCAATATTACTTTAAGAAAAGATACTGTGAAAAAAAATTTTAGGCCATTTATTTTAAAACAACCTCTGCTAGCACAAAAAAAAAAAAACATGTGGGAACAATTAATTTTGTCATCAAAATGACATTCTAGGAAGAGATTTAAGGAAGTATTTTTGAGGCAGATATAATACTATTCAACGAACACTAGCCCAATTTCAAAACAAGGAGGGGCTAGAAGAACACAGCACCTTCTGCAGAGTGCTGCCCACAAATCAAAATTGCCTTTGCTTTGTGCAAAAATGCACAAAACAAAATGCAAACATTTCTCATTTTCATCACCAAAGAATTAAAGCCCGGTGCCTAAATGGGGTTATTCCAGCTTGAATTTGTCAGGGCCGTGCAGCAGCAGAGCTCCCCCCCGGCAGCAGCTCGATGCCCGTTACCTGTCTGCTCGGTGGCCGTGGCTGTGTGGAGAAAACCGGACAGCGACAGTGAGGGCGAGGGGAGGGAAAGAAGCACTTGTCACTGCAGCAAACAGCTCATCTGCTCTTACTCGTATTCCACTTGTACTGAGTATGGACAGGACTAATCGTGCCTTTGCTTACACAGGCAAGAGGCTGCTGAACACACTCATTTTGTAGATATGACACCGTCACTGAAAGTCTAGCTAGCAAGTGATATATGATTAATCACAATATGGACTAAGAGCAGCCCTGCAACAGTCTGTAGTGAAATTAGCTTTAAAGTAAAATGTGTTTTCCAAATGTGTTTCCCATTCTGTCTTGTGAACCAGCTCATCACAGGGCCACGCTGAACAAATGGGAATCACAAACCATGTTCAAACAGGATAATAACTGAAGAAATTACATCAAATGTAAAAGGCAGAAAAACAGCAACCAATCACTTCCAGGATGGCAAGGGGAATAAATCAGGTAAAACAGTCCCTAAGACCAAGACAATGCAGACCAAAGGGTACAATGCAATCTCCATTTCTCTGGCATAACAGAGCACAACATTTTCAATTACTTAATATCATCATACGGAAGTTATTCTGATACAGCTATTTGATAATGTAACAAATATGCATTGGTACTACTGGCAGTGCTATGACCAGTAATCTTCAGGGTGCAATGCAAGCAAAAAACAGCTTGTTTCAGAAACTTATTTCTGTGTTTAAACATTCTTTTCAAAGACATAAAAGGTGTATGGAGCAACACAAACAATGTAGAATGAGCTACAGTGTTTGAAAGGGCAGATTTAATTTTTGGTTCATTTCTTTTAAAATTAAGTAAAGAAATATAAAAATGGGCTCTATAGGGTTTTGTTATTGCAACATTTACTTTACACATGAAAATCTTTAAAGGAATAGTAGTAAAACAATTTAAATAGCCAGCAAATGAGGCCAGTTTTGACAACGGTTTCAGCTACACATTTCCCCCTGCATTCCAGGATCCAGGACATAAAATGCTCCGAAAACTGGTTCACATTCAGTTAACTTCAGTAGTTTGTCTTGAGTAGACCCAGATGAGGCTCAGATACCTCATTAAAAATAAAGGTGGATACACTGAGTACGCTTGAATTGCTATACCAGCAGCTAAAAAATTCATTTTTCTCTCCGAGGCAACAGGAACAAACATAGTCTGTCTGTCATATTTCACATGATATTATACAGTTTGTTCTTCCATGAGAAATAAAGGCTAAAGGCTGCTTCAAACAGCGCTCAGAGTCGAGGTCTTCCAGCAAACCACTCAACTGGAGAAACACTCCAGGTTTCACCTGCCATTCAAATCCAGGGGATAACTTCAGCTTCTCTCTCCTATTCACGAACTTTCCTTTTTCCAAACCTTTACCCTTTCTTCTTCTCAGTTTTGACACGTTTTCTATCTAGTCCTCAAGCTAAATCTTTCATGTTCAGAAAAACTTCCTTGCCCTCAGAAGGACCATGTTCTCCCATGTTCTCCCTTTCTCTGATCATCAGATAGTTCCTTCCAGCCAGGGAGACTGCAGCAAATCAAACCCAGCATCCTCACAGTGAGCCTGATGGCCAGACTGCCCCAGAGACGCAGTTACTCTAATCACAGCTGTTCTTCAGGCCACAGGCCACGCTCCCACGAGCAGTTGCCCTGGGCTATCTGCATCAATGTATTTCCTTGACCACCTTCTGTGTGTGATACATTCCGGGTGATGTCAAGATCTGAACTAAAGCAAATAACATAAAACTGGAAACGTCAGAGAAAGCAACTGGGATCAAGGGATGTTACAGGAATACTCAAAGCTTTCAGCCCTAAGCCTAAAGATCAGGCTCATGATGAAAGAGAATCCCCAAACTTCTAACCAGTAGCCCAGACCTGAATAAAAACACATGAGTTGGGTGCCAACCTAGGGAAAACATGCACTGCCTTACCTTCGGGCAGGAACAAAGGAAAAATGAGCAGGTGCATTAGGAGAGAAGTTCCTGGGACTGTCCAACGGACTGCTACCTGTTTGAGAAAGAAAACATTTCATTTGCAACCAACTGATGAGTAGCTTTTCCTTGTGCAGAAATGCTTCGGGCTGTACTCATAAATAATTGACAATACACAGCATTTGATCATGTGAGCACTTGTTTGCTAAAGAGATGTTTTGGCTGATGTGGAAGCACTAGTATTTTCCTTCCTTTTAAAATAATTTAAGATGGAAAGCCCACCTATACACAATCTATTCTCCTAATATTTTCCAGTAATTTCTATATACAACTTGTCTCAGTACTTCTCAGTGAAATCTTGAATTAGACATGACATTTTCAGGAATAATGAGTAAGAAAGTAGCTCTCTACTTCTCTCACAATGTTTATCAATGATGAATGCAGAATTCACCGCAGAACTAGGACATGCCAAAGAAACTGCACATGATAATATAAGAATCACACACAGATCTAAGATGATCATGCCACAAGGCATTAGCATTCACTCTAACTATCAATATTCTGAAATGATTCTTCTCTCATGAAAACAAATATTTCTGTAAATTCAGAAAGTAAAGAAAAAATAACGCTATTTTATTCTCAGCCAGCACAAGAATCTCCTCTCCAGGCTTTCTCATGTGAAGTGTATACATATGGTTGGTAAGTGGTGTATTACAATGTACTTTATTTCAAAGCAAGAAGCAACCACTCCACAGAAAGCCTTTCTGAAAGCCAGAATCATTCAGAGACAACTGCAGAAACCTTTGAAATTCGTAAGATGAATTAGAAGCTTCATGTCAATGAGCTCTTATGATTGGGCATATTCTTAAGTGGTTTGCTCTTTCCAGTCCTTAACACAAGCATAAAGGAAACCAGGCCTAGAAAACACAGGTCAAAAGCAATTTCTTTGAGCTCAGAGAGTAAAATAACATTAAAATAAACAGGACAATAAGTGGATACTGGAGAAGCAATGCACTGCGAGATACTTTTATCTCTGTATCTTCAAATTTAGATCCCATTTAAAATGATTTTTCAAGTCATGTCAAACATGAGCAAGAAGGTAAAAATGAGAGAGAAGCTAAAGCTCCTGAGCGATGAGTTCCCTGCTGAGGACTTGCCCCAAGTGCTGAGCTCCCCACAACGGAGCAAGGTACACTGCAAGGTACACAAGCCTGTGCTTAAGCCGCATTGATTCCAACACTAATTAATCATCTACCTTGATTATCAGGCTAGGCAGAAACTGAACATACACCTGGCACACAGCTGAGGGCAGCTTTCGCTCGCGCTTCGGCTACCCAAGCAGCTCCTGTGCAGCCTCCGATGCCACCTCCCGAGCTGCTCCCTGCGGCCCTGCGGAGCGGCAGGGCAGGAGAGGGCAGAGCCGGGCGCCTCTGCGGCCGCAGCCAGCGGACTCCATCTGGCCTGCAGGTCTGCAGGGGGAAGCAGCAGCTGCTGGAGATCACAGCAGCCCCAGGCCCAGCTACCGCTTGTCTCGGAGTGATGACAGAACCAGAGAGGCAAGTGAAATGCAGACCACTCCACAATCTGCTTCACCAAGAGCAAACTGGATCAAAAACAAAGGTTTGAGCAACAGGTTTGGGCTCATTTGGGTTGATTTTCTTTTTTTTTTTTTTCTTCTCTCTCTATAATGCATTAAAAATTAGTAAGTCCAGAGTATGATATGACACAGTGCACACAGCCTAAATCCAATACTATCTAACCATTAGACTCCTATCATCTCTCGGGTTGGTGGCTTTGAGGGCATAGGAGAGGTGTCAAAAATCTGTGATTTTTGCTGCTTTGTTTTACTTCCTGACTTTACGCACATCTTAATTCCTGTGGTCACGGCGAAAAACCACAGCCTTTATACTACAACACAGGTGAGTGATTTTGCAGCCTGGGCGGCACCACAAATTTGCAAGGAAGATGGAAGGAAGCCACGACTGCTGCAAGCGCCCCAAGAGCTCGGGTGCTGCTCGCAGCACGTGCCTTCGGGTTGCCACGACTTACTGGGCAGCAGGGCACAAAGCAGGGCACAAAGCAGGGCACAGAGCATTTTAGATCTGAAGGAAAGACAGTAGGGAGGCCCTTAAGTGACATCGAATATCCTAGTGACAACGCAAGGAACTAAACCATTTTTGATGGGAACCTCGGTCTTCATTCCATTTCTTAACTTCCCTGGCGATGAATCCACTGGGTGAAGGTGCTCGATCTCAATAAAAAGCCCTTCACCAGACAGTGTCATGAACCTGCAATGAGCTATCATTGCCTTTTTTATTTTTAATCAATCTTTTGTAAACTTTCCAGCTCACGATCAAAATGTGACTCAGAATAACTCAACAAATTGGGTAATGACAGTTTTAAAACTTTGAAATTACCTGTGTGGGTGTTCCAACTCTTCTGCGCCTGCATAATCTGGTACAAAGATACTACTAATATTTAAGCAACATCTTTTTCAGATTTATATGGCATATTTCCTCCCAGACACTGGAATTTTAATTAGATCCCCTGTGAGTTGCTTCTAGTTTTAAAATGAAAAGCAATTAGTTTTCTACTCAATTCAACTCTGGATGAAGCTTTTAAAACAACAACAGGGAGAAGGGGAATTACTACTTTCCTTAAAATTTCCCAATATTGCTGCATCTGCTAGAATTGAAAGAATTTTAATAAGAGAAGCCTTAGCAGGAGGGTCTCCTTCGCCAAGGATGATCGAAAGCCCATTTACCGCGTTAGCAAAGGCAAATTCTCCTGTTGCTCAAGGGTTATGGTTGCCTACTGCTGAACCTGAAAGGACTCAGTCTCAAGAGAGGCCCTTGCACAGGATGATGGCCCATTAGGTAAATCAACACACTCTCAAGGACATTAATGATTCAGGCATGAACCTTTACATTTCCTGGTCACAGCAAGACGGATGTAGTCAAGGCTACACTCAGAACACAAGAAGTGGACCCAAATGGCAGTATTTGGTGAAAGCAGCCACCTCTCTGCAAACATGACATTCATTAGAGAGACTATTGAGTTCGAAAGCTCAGACTAGAACCTTTTTATAAAACCTGCCTCTGGAATTGATAAAAATAAAGACAAAAAACCACATTTTTTTCAACTCCACAAAGGTAGAAAGCTCTGTATGTCTGTGCCTCCTAAAATGCTTGCCCAGCCTTCCAGGTTAGGAATAGTCCTTTCCAGGGTCCTGGTGACCCACATCCCCTTTTGCAGCTATTAGGATCAAATCTGAGTGCCTGAAGTTAGCACAAGACACATGGTCGAAGACAGCATGCAGCTCTGGGACAAGAGACAAGTTCTCTGACTTCAAAAAGAGGCTCCTGCAACCAAGAACTCCACTGGGAAAGGCAGCTCCCTCACTCCCTTGATACCCAAAGCCCTATCAAGTCCGAGGATCCATAAAGAAGTGAAAGGAAATTCAATTTTAAGGATTTCAGAAGTCACAGTATAGAGAATATTACCAATTCATAAGAAAAATATTTACTTTCTAGATTATTACTTGCAAATAAAAGGTTACCATGGTTTAAAAAGCAGAACTGTTTACAATTATGTTTCTAAATATTTGGAGGAAAAAAAAATAGTAGATCAGCTTTCATTTTTATGCTTCTGCAAGAGAAAACATACAGTATAGAAGACATTCAAATCTTTCAGCAGCTACCATTCTATCTGCCTGAATCACTTGCTCTTCCGCTACCACTACCCTAAATTGTAACCTTATCTGCTCCATATCCTACCTGCTTTTGCCAGATCCTACCTTTAAGTCTGATTTCTCAGTGTGACTTCCTAATTATTTTCCAAGCTCCTTCTCCTCTTGCCCTCACCATTATCCAAATACACCTCAATACTTCTCTGCCAACTTTGCATCATCTTTGTACTGATACCAGCACCAGTATTAGATTTCATTTAAAGATCGGAGTTTACTCATTGAAATAAATACTCTAAATAAGAATATTGACTTAAAGTCTTATAGTACTGACATGTCAGCAATTTAACAATGGGAAAAAGGCCTGTGTCAAATGCTCTGCAGCCACTCTCTGCACATGCAGCACTCCATGGTAAAGAGGAAGAAGGAAGAGCAGCTCATTCGTAAGAAATAAGTGCAAAGCTACCTTTCTTTTCCATGAGCCACAACTAGCAAAGTATATCCACAGGACATTAATTAAAAAGCAGCTGTTGCCCAAAGATATGTTACCTGACAGTAACTCCCGTCCTCTGCACCACTAACATACATCAATATAATCCTCTTTATACTGGGAATAGTGTGCAAATACTAAACAACTAACTGAAGAGATAACTCGATCTTACTACAGAGAAATGAGCCGTTTCAAGGTCCATTTCATTTCAACGAATACACCGGCAAGACATCTAAATTCTTACTGAAATATCAGTTTTTGCTCCCTCCTGCTCTCTGCCAGCACAGCCTCTGCATTGCAGCTGGGGGCTTGGATTCCTCTCCCTGTTTTGATGTAGCCATTACAATGTCCTGACTGCATCCTCTTTCTCTTCACCTGTTCTGTGCTATCTCTAGTTACTTACCACCCCAATGAAAGCTACGGATCTGACATTTAAACCAGGCAGTTCAGTTTCTGCTGTAAGCAGCTCACTGCAAGAGCTGGGGCTGCAGTAAAAACACTGAACGTTTGCAGGGGCACTATGAGAACCAGTGGCCTGAGCACTAAAATTGTTACAAAGTGGGGTTTTGTTCTTGTTTTTCCCATGGTTTTCTACATAAGACATACAATTCATTGAATGCTAACACAAATGGCCAAAAATCTTACCAAACAATACAGAATTACCTGCCTTCCAGCACATACGGATCTTGTATTGAAGTTGATCAGTCATTCCTATTTCACACGTGTGACTGACACCTGGATGGCAGGACAGGATGATGGCATTCCTTATATTTGATACGGGTGCCACTGAGTGTGCTTAAATGTTTCCTTTTTTTTTTTTTTTTTTTTTTTAAATACAAGATCCAACAAGCCTTGTGTGACAGCCTTAGCCCAACTTTTACCCCATCTTCACTGTAGGCTGTGATGACTGCAGAGGTTCGTAGTCCCATCGGACCCCACAGAGCAGACACCATCCAGGGAAGGAGGTTCGGGCCAGGAAGCAGCAGAATCCTGCCTTTCTTTACCAGTGCGAAAGGGGAAAATGCATAAACAAGGAGAAGCCCTCATAATAAAAGCCATTTTTGCCAGTAGGAGGAATGGAACTTGCAGGGAAAGCGCACAGGAAGGTAATTCAGGGCTGCCCACGAGCAGCTCCCTGCACATGGCATCGCAGCTGGGGACAGAGCAAACCCACAGGCAGTGACAAGTGTCTTCCCTGGAAGCCAGGCTGCAATTCAGCTTCATTACAGCAGTAGAAAATAAATTTCAAAATAGTTTGAACCTCAATCCCCCAGCTGTAAGACTCAATCTCTTTTCTACCAAGTTATAAAGAGGATGTTGCTTCTGCCACTGTTTTGAAGCTTTTAATTTGAAAAAATAATCAAGCAGTAATTTAGGTTATTTCCCCTCCTGATGTGAGACTGCACAGTGTAACGGATGTACTGTGCACTACTTCTCTGCTTCTCTAATTGGCAAAAAAGCACAAACATTTCTATACATCTCTTCCACATGGAAACTTCAGAAGTCAACACTGAGGAAGACCCAGAGCAAATAATTTAAACTACATATTGACAGACACAGAACTCAAATCTCATTTTTTTTCTAATTTGAAAAATCTCATTTTCAAATAAATGAGGTGTTTCAAAGGTCAGCAGGTATTATGGGACTTGCAGGAGAACTACTACCCATTTTTAAGGGATTACTAAAGGGCAAAACACAGGTATTAGGATTAAGAAGGAAAGCTTAATGCTGTAGACTCATAAGAAACTATTTTTGTTGGTCAAATCCTCTCCTTTACAAAATTAACTGGCCATGTACTGGGAAAGCATTCACATGTAGTAATGCAGAACTAAAATTTAAGTTCAACAGTAAAATTGAAATCAATATGAAAATTTTGGTTGGGATAAGAACTCAAAAATAACCTTTACAGGCACTGCAATCTAGTCATGTTCAGTCTTCAATGGACTCCTCCTATATTCTCCTGTAAGTACAAATTACAAGTGAGAGCAAGTTTAATTGGTACGTTCAGTTACGCAAGACTAGCTGAGAAGCTCACTCTGGTGCTTCATTTGCACGGACCATTTATTCCCAAGTCCACCAGGTGTAATCTGAACTCATTTAAGACACCCAATTGAGGGAGAAACACAAAAATTAAAACGATTTTCAAGCGCCTGATTTTGATGCATCACTCTGAGCAATCTCAGAATAAAATCATAACCATCTGCCAACAATTACAGGGAGGTGAAGAGTTACTGGTTAACACACGCACAGCCGTAAAAACCCCCGCACTAAAACTAAGAATAATGTGACATAGTTTTCTAAAGGGAGCTAGAAATTCTTAAAAGTGATTGTGCCAAGTAAACGTTACTCCTCTGCATGTGTATGAATGCAGGGTAAAAATCTCACTAGGGAAGTGCTATCAAAATAGGTTGTATTTCAGTTTCTGCAATAATAGGGATTAATTCAGATACAATGGTTGGCATTTTATTTTACTATTTATTATCTGAACAGCATGAGTTGTGCTTTTTTAAAAACAAAATTATAGGAATTAGAACAAGGTAATATTATTGATATTAACAGTTTATAAATAAGTTTTTAAAATTCTAAGAGTCTCTTTACCACGTGCCACAGTGCAGTAATGTACAAGTAGTGTTTCTCTTCAAATAATGCTGCATATAACATACACAATATTGTAATAATGAAAGGCAATAAAATAAACATCCAGGATTTTGATAGCAATAGATGCAGCATTCAAACATCCAAAGTGGATGTTAAATTATTCTGTCAGGTAAGCAGAGCCAATGGCAAACAAATACATGCAGCACTAAACATCTCACCATATATACAAGTCTGAATTTTGCAGTTCTATCCAGACCATTTAAGATGGGCTCCAAGCACATGTGTATGCTCCTTTTCTTCTGTTTTTGAAAAAAATAAAATTTCAAATAAAAAAATAAAACAAACTTTATTTCTAAAACTTGGCACTTCAATACAAGTCCTTGTGATCAAATAAGCAGAGGGATGTTTGCTTGAAGTCAACATGATGTAGTTTTCTATACTAAGATCCTAGGTCATTTTGAAAAATGTTTGGGAATTGCATACAATCTAAAAGCTGAATTGATGCACTTCACACACATTAGCAGCCCCTCAGTCACAAGGAAGTTCATATCATAGTTAAAATTGCTTGGATGTATTTTCATTTCAAATATTTAGGTCTTTTCACGTACTATATTTTCTCCAAATTTCTAAGCATTTTCATAACATTATGAAATTGCCTGACATCTCATCTTGATGCTCTTCAGATATTAAATTTTAAAAAAAGGTGTATTTTTGCATTTTCCCAGGTCAGGGGTCATTAGGAGGTAGGTTTTCCAGCTAGACAGTTGACTGTCCTACATCTTTAAGTCACACAGAGGAATAACTTCTGGGGCAAGTGCCATAGAGAACATGATTTTAGAGTAGTTTCAAAACGGACAATTTTGGATGGCCCCCTTGTTTCTCTGCCTGCCCACATTTTCTCTGACTCGTGGCAGAGCTTTAGAACAGACATCAAGAGGAGCTGCTCGAGATGGAAACCCATGGGAGAGAAGCTCCTGCACTTCTTACCAGATTATGGACAGATTGCTTCATTCATTTCAAATAGTAAACAAATATCATAGCTTACTCTCAAAGCCACATCATATATACAATATTTCTTCAGAAAAGCACTTTTTTACTCTAAATTTAACCTACTTTTGTCTCTTGAATACATGTCTTTTCTCAGGGAAGACTGCTAAGGACATTACTGCACAAGAACTCCAATTACAAGTGCTTTCTCCTCCTATTCTCTGCTGGCTACTCCTGTAGGTCATGGAAGATGTCCTTTAATTAACGGTTTTAACTCCCACGTGCAACACGAGAACCAAAAAATGGAAATGATTATTTGACAGCTACAGCTAAGGCAAGACAACATGTCACTCATTAGTCACCCTAGCTTCTAGAAGGCACTCAGCAACATATAAGCTTGCAACCTGACACATATCAAGGAAAATAACTTTTCACTATTGAAATAGGTCAGAAAAGCTTATCAGAAGTAAAAAAAAATAAAGTTGTTTCCAATAAGTATACTTCTGCATTTTTTTCTGGGTATATTTGTGCAGCTAATTTAGAATTTGTTAAGCCCAACATATATATTGACTTCAACAGCAAAGTAAAGAACACAACATAACTAAGTGGAGAATCTATATCAGCAAAACTGCTCTGTTAAGAACAAATTCTAGGAAGTTATTCACAGAATTATAACACACAAGCGAACCCAAGGAGTCCGTAGTGAGGTAGAAATGACCTATGCAAACTCTTGCTTCTACAAAGCATGCAGACAAGTAAGATCTGAATATATTTCACCTGAGATTCTGAAACAAAAGCAAAACAATTTTAATATACCTCTACTCAGTAACATTTTAATTAAAAAAAGGATGGGTCATTTAAAAAACAATGTGATTAAAGTAGTTCCTGAAACTTCCATGACTGGGTTTTCCAGCATCCTGAGCAAACATGACAAATTTTTATGTAAGCTTAACTAACAGTTGTGGCTTTAGTGGGTAACTGCGGACATAAAAATGGTACTTTTTTTTTTTTTCCCCTCCCTTTTGATAGGCTAGATGTCACCTCTCCAGATACAACGCTCTGCAAACAGAAGCAGATGGCTCCTGCTGCTGAACTACTATCAATTGGCTGTTCTTTCTCAGCGTTTCCTAAGTTTCCATCTCCAGAAAGTATTTACAGAACATATTGCCATGTAGTAGGAGGAGAGTCTGAGTATAATGAAAACAAGTTCCTTGTCCTACACGCAACCGTGAGGAGCTTCCAGGCAGGCTCTGCTGCTGATGCCCACGTGCTGCAAACGTTCAAGCTGTTTCATGCTACAGACGGGTGTCCATTAAGGCCACACCAGAAACTCAACCAAATTCTCTTGTATTTTGGAATAGCAGAAACAAGATCACAGGTCATCGACCTCTCTCAGTCACAACGACCCCAAGGAAGGGCTGTTTGGACAAGCCGGAGCATTGGCAGGGAGGGAGGACCCTTTCTGAGAACCCACAGCAACCACCGGGTAAATAACAATTCTTTAATTGGTTTCAAAAAGCATCTCCACACATTCACCCTGACGACTAATAAGCAGTTGCCCAATTGCTTTGAAATGAGCACCTCCTAGCTGCTGACATGGTAAAACGAGTGTTTTTCTACAGAATGTGGCGGACCTAAAAGACTGAACTCTCCAGAAAGAGCGGAGGAAGGGTAAGGTAGCAAAGTGGAGAACTCAGAACAGATAATGAAGAACACAGTCCTGGATTACTTTTACTTTTCTCAGAACAAAATCATGTTTTTTGAAGTTCTTCCTCTTTATGGAAGCAATATTTTTTGATCTTGTTCATACCTAAAAAATGAAGTTCTAATAAAATATTCCCCAAATTTCAGTGTGTTCTGAATCACCTTCTATATCAGAGCTGGCAGACAGCACAGTCCTAAGCATGACATACATTTATTTTGAAACTATATGGGTATTGTTGTAAGTTTAAAAAAGTTAAAAACTATGATCAGATAAAGTTTCCAAGAGGGTGTTCTGATTTCTCAGCATGTTCAACCTCACTGCAATGACCAAGGACATCACTAATGATCGCCAGGAAAGCCATCCCCGAGAGTTACCTGTGTGTCCATGAAGAGGGGAGTGTGGTCGCGGGAGCGTTGGAGAAGTGCTGGAGGTTACAATCAAACTCTTCCTGTTGCTTGTCCGACAGCTGCAAGAAAGACATAATTTATAAGGCAGGGTCAGGAGAACAAGCACATGTGAAGGCAGGTCCTGCCAAATGTCTTTTAGCTAATGAGGGATCCCTCAGTATTTAGGTCAATGCCTTCCTCACGCGCTGAATTTCGGCACCAAGTCTGCAGAGGAGGAAACACGCAGGGCTCAAAGTTACTTGGTCAGCAACAAGAAGCTTAATATATTGGCACCCTCCATGTCCTGCTGCACAGGCTGCTCCAGAGCTGAGCGAACATTCCTGACTCACAAGACTCAGGCAGCTCACGCTTTCCAAAACACACAAAACCCCCCGGACGGTGAAATTCTCAAGTGCCTCAGATATTCTTAGCAATATGCAGCACAGCCCATGAATCTGCCACAATTACTGGCTAATGCTTGTAGAAACCAGAGCATAGTCCTTGGAAAGAATTAAAATGGCAAAGATGTTAGCACAAGGCAGCAGATGAGCAAGTTTACTAACAAAATTCACACCTGACATTCTCAACTTTTCACAGGCACATGCAGGGACACTCAACTAACCCCGTGCAAAGCGAGATGCGGCCGGAGCCCTTTGCTCAATCAGCTCCATCGCTTTGGCAAACAAAGAGACAAGGGATTTGGGACAAGGAATTTTGGACATTTTTAATCAGAGTTTCAGAATTAGGCAAATGAGGAAACGGATGTGTTTCCCCATGTGCTCACCATCATATGATTTCTCCTAATAAGCATTTCATTTGCTCTAAAGATCATAAAAGTAATTGGAATGGACAAGGGAAACATTTTCAGAACAGGCAAGCTGTGAACAAGAGCTACAGGATTTTTAAATCCTGTTCCTATTCCTGCTTTCTCCATTGCCTAAGCTGAACAAGCAGCCTAAGATTCCCAGCAAAACCTCACAATCAGCCTTTTACATTTATTGACTGTAACTCCAGCTTTCCTTCCAGGTGACAGGGATGTTTCCGCTTACTCCCAGGGTTCGCCAAACAGTTTACAAACCCCATATTGGGCTGGGTATGGATACCACCTGGGCACTGGGCAGCAGGGGTGCAAATCAACCCAAGCAGGGCGTTAACTTGCACAACTCAAGACATGTAACGGGAAGCTCCTGCCTGGTTTAACCCAACACCACGCAGAGCCCGTTCGCTCTTGCACAGTTCCCAGCCCAACGTCTGCCGGGATCCTTCCTGCATCGCTAAATGTTCTGGAGCGGCCCAACAACAAATACCCTCATCACACTGCCAATTACTGTGGCTTAATGCAAAATTACTTTGCTGCCACAGGACCCAGTGTATTAATAATTACTGAGCCTTTTTTGTTGTTGTTCTATACAAAGCTGGAGATCCGTAAGTAGAAAAAGGAATACAACTGAACTGCCAGCTATAATAAACTTCAATAAGGCTGAAGTACTATTAACTGCCTTTCTGGCTCTTTAGTGTACTTAAAGCATTCCACAAAATTATCCAACTGATTCCATACAATCTTCATTTACAGTCATGAATTATTCAGCAAGAGGCCATGCAAAACCTGATTACCATTCTGCACATCATAAGCAAAAATTAACAGCCTGATTTTAAGAAGCTTAAAATCTCCGTTTATAGATTTTTGATGTCTTCAGTTGCTCTATTCCATTAACTGTTGCAAAAGAAACAGAACACTCAATTCCAACATTCATACCAAACAATCATTATGCTCACGTTACTAGCAAATGCTTTCCACAATAACAAAAACAAAACAAAACAAAAAAAAGTGTTCTAACAGAAATTGCCATGTAAGAAACTAAGATTTTGCTCAATATAAAATATTAGCCCAATAAGAAAAAAAAGCTCCATCTTCTATGGTCATACCCTCTTATTAAAAAGGGTTCCCAATATACACTTTACCCCAGTGATGGCTGGAGCCTGCTATGGAAACTTGGTATAAAACACAATATAATGGGCAATATTAAGTATCCAAACCCCAGAGCTGCTTTATACAGAAAAAAAAAAGAAAGAAAAAAAGAAAGAAAAAAATACCCTGCTTGTCTGCATTTGCCAAATTGGACCAAGTTCTACAAACCCGTTTTTTTCTGCTATACTTGCAAAGATAAGGGACCATAAGAGAAAGAGTTAAGTGGCTGGAGAGCAAGCACAGCTGAGACCCATTAGAAAGGTCAGGTTTACATGAACACACAGCAGAGGAGGGAATGGGTTTTGAGTGAAAGCCTAGACCCAAGTTAGGAATAAACCATTACTCTCCTTACACCCCCAAACCTGGATAAATTTCAATTTCCCTGGATCACTAAGCAGGGAAGGGGGAACATCTCTTAAGCCCATTTGGCCACTTCCACAAACCATGTCTGCTGCCAATAAGGAAAAGCTGAAATATAAAGGCTAACAACAGAATGTTCTGATTTCTTAAATCCATGTTATACGATGAGAAAAATACATACACAGACACAATATACTCCCTACTGGCTAAGAAAGGCCTTGGGAAATGCATATAACCTTTAATAGATCTTCAGGATCCCAAAGAAATTGCTGAATAACAGCGATGATGTTCTCGCAGTTACGAAAAGGGATTAAAAAAAAAGGAGGGGGGAACATGAGGATTTCAACTGTGCCACCACCCCAAGAAGTCACCGCTACCGCATTTAGGCATCTCCCGAATAAAAACAGCTAAATCTTGAAGAAGCCCAGCTAGATTTAGCTAGGAATTAATGCCAAAGAAATTAGTCCTAATCATTTAATCACTGGAATAGTTCAAATGAAGACAAAATGCTTTCCTGGGAGGTGCACTTTAGCTAGGTACTGGCCTCAGTACTGAAATACTTGGGCTACAATAATAAGGAGCTCCTATGATCAATCTTTTCAATTGCATTAATTATTGCTTATTACTGTTGACAAATTCTCCAAACAACATTAAGTTTACCTGCCCCAAAACTACATAAGAAGCAGGAGCGATAGGAGAAAGCAGAAAGGGAAAAGGGCATCTGTGCCTCGCTGGCTTTTTTAACAAGAAAAAAGAAAGTTCTCAGAGGTTCCTCAGGAATTCCAAGCGTTACGATTTGTTTATAAGCCCAAGTTTTGCTATTTTAATTAAATGCAAGGTGAGCCTAGCCCCGACCTTCCTTCACCCCCACAGTTTAATATTAAGTATGGGTCTTGTTAATATTTCTTTCCTAGCTCCCACTTCATAATTTCAGAGACCACCCCGCATGGCAGCTCCTCTCGCTTAAGCGGAGCCCAATCCCGGCGGCGCAGGGCTCCTCTCCCACCCGGGGCCCCTTTGGAACGTGCTCAAACCCCAACCCAACCAGCGCTCCTCTCCCGCCCGGCGCTGCAGGATCCGGGCGGCGGGGCCCCTTTGGAACATGCTCAAACCCCAACCCAACCAGCAGCGCTGCCACCTGCCCCAGCCCTGCACAGCCGCCGGCAGCTTGCACGGAAGCTCGCGGACACACGGGCTGCCAAACGGGAATGGGGAAGCCTGGAAAAGCCCTGCAGCCACCCAAGTCTTCACCATCTGAGCAAAAAGAAGGATTTGCAAGAAGGCCTCTTTGCTGTTGCCACAGAAATCCCACTGCTTCTGGAGCTCGCTTTGCTCCCTGTGGTAAAAATAACATCTGCTCTGTGGCCCGCGGTGTTCCAAGCGCATTCCTGAAACCGAACACTGCGGACATGGCACATGTGGGACGTGGTAACCGGAGCCGGGTTCTGGACCCGCTGCAAGGGGCTCTGCAGCTCGCGCCCTTGTCCCGTGTTACTCGTGAGCCGCGGGTAGTGCTGGGGCTCTGCGACTGCCCCCCACACACCCCAACTCTGCGCTTTTATACGACCTGCTAAAAAGGGATTCATCATTACAGCGTTTTGGCTTCAACATAGATCAATATTTGATTCTTTATTTTAACGAGTCACGGTGCGTCTCTGACTCCCGCTGATATTGCAAAGCAAAAGTGATTCATGTCTGCTGAGGCATTCACGTAATGAAAACAAGCGGCATAGAAAACCAATTTAAAAACAAACAACCAGCCACCAGGATCAAGTCATACCATAGCATTGCTGGTTATTAGAAATGAAAACACTAATGAAGGTTTTCAAAAGCTATCTAAATTGATAGGCCTAAAAAATATATCTCATAGCAGAATATCCTGAATGCGCAGGATTAGCACCAGCAGCACAAGTCTGACCATATACTTCAACAGAAATCCAGGTGTCAGGTAAAAAAGATGTACAGAAAAATTACAGCTTAAGGCACTTTTCATTAGCAGTCATTAATATATATGAATTATATTAGCAGTTTTTAACTACAGAGCTTTAGCTTTGTAAAACACCTCAAGTTTTCCACACTGACTAGATTCATGCATTACCTCCTAAGTCTTCAAATTTGAATTCTGAGTGACAGACACTACCGTGATGCAGGTTGTGTCTGCAATACAGCAAACCCCAACGTCACAGCACATCTCCGAGTAACTACACCTACAAAGGATGTTCGTGATTCCTTGTATTCCTTAGACTTGTCTGGGCAACATTACGCTTAAGCAGCTTCTCTGATGTTAGAGAAATTTTTAGAAAACATTCAATTCGTTTTGGTTGATTTGCCTTATAAAGGCTTCTCTATGAGAAACAGCCATTTTGGAAATGAAAATAAGCATTTAAAATTTTTATTCACAATGGCAGAAAATTTACAAAATCTCAAATCTGCATGTCAATGAATGCAGCAGCTGCACAGCAGTGTTAACTAGATGTGGAAGTTATTGCCTTAATTATAGTAATTCAAAGATGGAAGCAATTTTGTAAGCCTTAGCACTACCAACAACAGGAATAATTAGTTCTCCAAAATAGATAAGAATAAGTAAGCATCTGGTTCAACTGATCTTTTCTTTCCACATTCAAGAATAGTTTAAAAGTTATTCATCCTAGAATAACTAGGGGAAAAAAAAGCAGTGTTATTGTTCCTGCTGTGCAGATTTGGTAGTTTGCACATTCCTATAATAAGCTTTCTTCCTTCTCCTCTCTTCCA